TGAACAGCCTCTGGGAGGCGTGGCAAGTGAAGTAAGCGGAGGGGTGGAAATTCACGGGAAATTGGGAAGCGCCAAACGGGAAGGATTGGATGCTGAGTCAGAGGGTGGAGGATTGGGTCCTAGGTTCTGCCTGTTTGACATATGTTTTTTGAGCTTGTGCTGATCTCGGCCGATTTGTTTCAGTTGAAGGGGCTGAAGTTAAAGTTGGCCAGGGGCTGGCCCGGCCCTCGCCCACCAACCTGCGCGCACTGCTTTCGGAGGGCTGCCCCTCCATGGTGAAGGAGCGCCTGCTGCAGCAGGGCTGGTCCGCGGCGAGCGGCCGGAAATGCGACGGGGCTGGCACGCCGGCTGTGGATGGGGAACCCTGGTGCTTCCTGCAGGACCCCTTGTCGGAAGTCATCGAGCGCCCGGAGTTGGCAGAGGAGTACGATGCTGCCACAGATGCCTTGGTGCGGGCCTGTGAAGACACCTTGGCCCTCCACAGCGAAAGGGTGATCATCTATCTCACCCACTTCACCGAGGAAGCCCCACCGCAGGCACGCAATGAACAGCTGATGAGAAGCGCGTGCACAGAAGCTGCATGCTGCGCTCGTTAACCGTTCGCCCGATTCGGGGCGTCTTGCGTCTCGCGGCAAAGCCGAGAGATGCTGATCACCCACGGCACGGGCAACCCAAAAAGTCGGCCATAACACATTTCGACCGGTTTCCATTTGTCCTTTCTGTTGTTGGCTCGGCCATTTGACTGGCATGTGACTCTGCATGTGTGTTCGTTCGTTTGCTTGGTTGTTTGTTTGTTTGTTTGTTTGTTTGTTTGTTTGTTTGCTTGCCTCGCTTACCTGCCTGCCTGCCTGCCTGCCTGCCTGCCTGCCTGCCTGCCTGCCTGCCTGCCTGCCTGCCTGTTTGCCTGCCTGCCTGCCCGTCTGTCGGTCTGTCGGTCTGTCAGTCTGTCGGTCTGTCGGTCTGTCGGTCTGTCGGTCTGTCTGTCTGTCTGTCTGTCTGTCTGTCTGTCTGTCTGTCTGTCTGTCTGTCTGTCTGTCTGTTTGTCTGCGCTCTTGAGGTTTTGATCTGGCATGATGTCTGCGTCGATGGCTGGGTTCAAAGTGTCAATCCAAGACAGATCTGATGCCAGTCAAGTGCCGAGTCTGCAACCATCCATTTAGCAAGCAATTGACCGCAAGCACAAAACGCTTTCCCTCGGCAAATTTCTGGCCCCTGCCAAGCAGCCGGGCCAACCTTGCCTGGGGGGCGGATGGAGAGCGGTCCGGAGCGGAAGGCGGCGCTGGAGAGCCTGGCGGCCCTGTTCCGGGACCCCGCGCGGTTCTGCGGCTCGAGCCCGGCCCTGCAGCCGCTCTACGGCTTCGACCTCCGGAGCGCCGAGTTCGACCAGGCGGCGCTCAAGCGGCCCCGGGATGGTGCCCAGGGCCACGGCAGCGGCAGCGGGTATGGGGCCGGGGGAACCCCCGGCCATGGCGGAGGTGGCCGTTTTGGGACCAACTAGACCAGCGGACCAGCGGAACACCGCGCCCAAAGTTCCAAGATCTCGGCGCCCGACGGCACGCACGGTTCGCTGAGTGAACTGGCGCGCTGTGTTAGCGGCTAGCGGCTGGTGCGCAAGTCTCGCTTCCATCAGGCCATGCTTGAAGCGTCACATTTCCTGAATCTTTTAAGGCAGGGCTGAGGCTGGCCGAAAAGAGTTGTTGGCCGCATCCTGACTGCCAGCCACCATGGCACAGCTTGTGGTTACTTGATTTTGTGGTGCCTTTACTTCTTGCATAAAATATGTTTAAAACATATTTTATCCTTTCACGTGTGATGGCTCTCATGAGCTGGGACTGAAAGAAAGGCTGATGCCTCATTTCTTTCTCACGTTCCGCCTCGCTCACTTGCAGCTTTGCCTGCTGTTTAGGCTCCCCAGCACTTGAGAATTAGTCGCTTCCACCTCACCAGGACGTGCTGCCGGGGCGGCAGCGGTCCGTCTCGGCTGGCACCATGGATGACCAGATTGCGAGGATGGGCGCTCCGCCGAAACCGAGCGCGGGGATTGTGGATGTGGACGCCTGGAGGCAACAGCCCGGCTTGGCGACGCGGGTCTTCCAAGAGTTTGCGCGGAAGAAGCGAGGGGACCTGGCGCAGATTCTGCTGGAGGACATGCTCGCCGAAGGGTTGCAGGCGGGTAACATGCTTGACGGCCGGGGGGGGGGGCACAGAGTTTGGCTGCAAGGAGCGAAGCTTGAAGGCTGGGTCTGAACAGGCGGTTTGGCCCTGGCAGGTGAACGTTTTCCACTGCAGCTCAGCAGCTGGCGCCTGCGTCAAGGCCACGCAGTGGCAGGGGTGCCTTCAGATACTGTCTTGCATGGCCCGGTTCCAGGTGCAGCCCAATGAATACACACAGAGCGTTACTGCCAAGGCATGTGCAGAGGCAAGCCTTTGGCAAAAGGCTCTGAAGGCTGATGCCAGCACAGCGGTCAGCGCTGAACAGTTCCCCTGGCCTCTGGCGGTAGGTTTGCTGCGCTTTGGGAGGTCCTTGTTGTTGGGCAGCACGACCCTTGGATGTTGTGGGCGCCGTGGCCGGTGGGCCGATGCCTTGTGGATTCTACTGACTCTGCGGGAATGCCGCGGGCCCGATGCCATTGCATGGAGCACTGGCATCAGCGCCTGCGAGAAGGGCGAGCGGTGGATGTGGGCGCAGGAGACCCTCCGAGGTATGCTGCACAGTGCTGCTTTGCCAAACCCAATCACCTGCAACTCCTTGCTGAGCGCGTGCCAAAAGTGCAGCAGGTGGCAGTCAGCCCTACTTTGGTCATGGCAGGGCGACACCCCCGGCTTCAACGCGGCCATCCGCGCTTGTTCGGATGCCATGGTGTGGGCGCGGGGCCTGGGGCAGCTGAACCAGATGCATGCCTTCTGGCTGAGACGTAGCACGGTGTCCTACAACTCGGCCATCGCCGCCGAGCCGCGGGCTTGGAGCACGTGCCTAGGCTTCGTGGGGTCCATGGCGCTTGCCGCCGTTGCCGCGTCCTCCATCACGGCCAACTCGGTGCTGCACGGCCTGGCGGCCAGCTCCATTTGGCAGCTGGCCGTGGGGAGCGTCAGGACTCCGGACGTGGTCACCTTGAGCTCCGCGATTTCCGGCGTGTCCGGCGTCAGCTGGCGCGCGGCCACTGCGCTCTTCGGGGCCATGGGCCTGCTGGCGATCCAGCGGAACGTGGTCGCCTACACCTCGGCTATTGGCGCCAGCGGGGAATGCGACGGCGATGGCAGCTGGACCGAGGCGTTCGCGCTGTTGGTGGAGTTGAAGGAGAAGCAGATGAAGCCCAACGAGCTCAGCTGCAGCACTGCGATTTCAGGATGCAAGCCGGCGTGGAGGCACACTTTGTGGCTGTTGGGATGGATGAGGGACCTCAGCCTTAGCATCTTGCCTTTTGACTCTGCGGTGGCTGCTTGTGCTTCGTGCCATCACTGGCGTTGGTCCCTCCGCCTTTTGTTCGCTGACGGTGCCAGCTTCCGCGGGCTGGATGCTGTTGCCTGCAATGCGCTGGCTGGTGTGTGCGAATCACTTGGGCAACCCTTGCTAGCGGTTCACCTGATGCAGAGCGCCGAGCTGTCTGCAGGTGCAAGACTTAGGCACCGACGAAAAGGCTGCGGAGGCCCTTAGGAAACAGTATAGTGTCGTGTTTCTTCCTTATCTAGGGTAAGACATCCGGATGCAGTGTTTCGGATCAAGCACCTGGGCCTTTGCCAAACGGCAGGGCCTTTTGGATGCACTTGCAGCTGCCGAAGACCGGCAGACCCAATGTGTCACGCCAAAATAGCACCTGTTCTGAGACTCGGCGTGCACCTGGTTTCAACCAACCCGAAGGGGTACCCTGGAAAAGCACGTCCATGTCGCTTTGCTGTCCGTGCTTTCACCCAGGAACGGGTCTATACTCCACGAATTCTTCACAAATTCGACCCGGTTAGTTCACTGAAGCCAGGCGGCACTTAGGGGCGGGGGTCTGCCAATCTCTTGCATTTCCCGGCTTGCGAGAAAATGGGGCCTCAGCTATCCAGGCCCTCTCAAAAGTAGGTACCTACATACCCCTCCAAGTGGCTGTTTCATGTTGTTTCCCCCTGGCCCACCGGGGAATCCGACAAAAGCGCTCCGTGCGTCGGGGTGTTTGAAGCCCCGAGGTGCAGTCGACCCTCCAGCCAGCACACCTCCCGCTTTCTCTCGCCCGGGCCGAGCCTGGAGGTGCCGAAGGGTCGGATGCGTCCGAGATGAACCGCGCTGTTGGGTGAAAAGAAAGCACAGCAATTACCCTCTTTCTCTCAATGGAGGTGAACATGGGGCTTCCCCAAAATGAACAGGTCAGAAGCTCGTTTGATTCCAAGGCTTCAGCCTGACAGTGATGGAATCGTAGGGCCCGTTTTCAGCTTGTCGTGTTCGTATTCGGGCTTCCACCGCAGGTTTCTGCTAACCCAGTCGTTCAGTGGCACCCTTTTGCCCTTGTTCCGCTGCACTGGAAGCGATCCACCCCGATAGGGTCCCCTCCTTGGGCAAAGGAGCCAAAGGAAGAGCCAACAACTGCGCCCCAATGTGGCGTGCCCGTTTTAGCCGCAACCGTTCCGGAGTTTCTTTCTCGTCATTTAGCGGGGAGGTGCTGAGCTCTTAGGGCTCAGGATTCAATCACCCCCTCCCCAAACCTTTTTTAGATGGATCCCATGATTCTCGGGCCATATTTTACAGGGGACGCGGGGACCCCCTGGCTTGCTGTTGGGTAAGACTAGATGGCCCCCAATTTGGGCTTCATCCCCTTACCCACATGTAACAAAGGCCATTGTCCCGCCTACTTTCACCCTGATGAAAGTCTCGCCGAGCTAGGCGGAAGCGGAGGACGCCATCGAGCGGGCGGTGCAAGCCGGCAGGGAGCAGAATCTGAGGCGCTCAGGACTTGTTGGTATGTGGGAAGGGGTGCCACTCGTGCTTTGGAGTCACGTTGGCCCCTGTTGGTCGCTCAAGCTTCAAGAAGTTCTGCTAAACTCCCATAAATCCCTCTACAAGTTGAGAAAGATCCGACGCAAACAAACAGTCGCTCAAGGTTAGCACAAGCCACCCACGGCTGCAAATCAAGTTGCCCAAGGTGAAACACCAAAGAAGCTGCAAGCTTCTTTTTTTTTAACAGCAAAAGAGGCAAGAACCCCTTCACCCAGGGTTCTTAACAACAAGTCACCAAAGGTTTCAACAAAACCGTTTTCCGGTGAATCTGGCACTGCCAGATTTCTCAAGTCTTGGTAGAATGTGATTGTTTCGTTTTTGTTTTTCGGCGTCGAGTTGGCTAAGCCAAGATGCCGCCGGGCACGCGGCATCCATGCGCATCGGCGAATCGGCGAATGGATTCGCCAGGGGCGGCTTGGTGGTGGCGGAGCTGCAGAAGCGAGGGGTCGCTCTGCACTCAGCGCTTGCCGAACCAAAACGAATCCCCCCCCCCCCCCCAGGGCCCAGGGGGGGGGTTGATGGGCTTGGATTTGTTCATGTGGTGTTTGGTGCCAAGCATGTCTAAATTTAGGTGTTTGCCTTCTTGTTTTTCCTGCATGTTGCCCTTTCAACGATTCATTTGGCACAGAGTGGATAGCATATGCTCACATTTCTCGTTTAGATGGCGCCTTCGCTGCCGCTATGCAGGCAGAGTGCTTCGAGGAGTATTCCCTGAGGCAGGCATTGGCGCAGCCGTTGGAGCACCTCCCTGGTGTTTTTGTCCGAGCCAAAGGTCATCAGGCAACCCTTTGGTTTGGTTTGGGGGTTTGAACTCTTTCCTGTCGAGAAAGGATTTTTCCCCGCATCACCTCCAAGCCACAAATCCAAGAAGCTTGGAGTTTTGGTCCAGGGACTACTTTGATGCCAGCGGCCAGCGGCGCTTCTGCAACTTGTCCATGAGCGTGGCGGCCAGGAGGCGCTGGCTCCTTATGTCAAACAAGGATGCCACACAAGTGGTTGACATCCAGAAGGAGTTTCCCTTGGCCAGCCCGGAAAAGAAGGTCATGTGGTACCAACAAAACACCGCCCACCTTGAGCATCTCTGCATCGACTTTCTGGGCATCGCTGTTCAATGTCCTGGACATCTCCGATCGAATCGCAGGCACCCGCAGGTCTCGAAAGCCTTCGGCTCCATGGCTCAGCGGACCGAAGTCCTGCAGGAGGAGCACGTGTTCTCGGCCATTGCCTACCGCTGCCTGGCAAGCGGAAGTGGCTGGACGTTCTGAACGAAGCGGAAAGACGTACTTAAGGGCGCGGTTTGTTTTCAAAGCAAATGCCCTCTTAGAAAGCTTTCATTCCATATTCCATTCCATATTGTAGGGGTGACCTTGCAAGCAGCTTTGTACCCCCCCCACCCAACCCTCCTATGAAACAGGGCGTTTCTCCTCATGCACTTGCCATCGCCGGTCTCAAACCTGGGCGCTAAATCACGCATAAGAAACCCAAAAGGGCACGGGTATTTTTTCCAGACGCCCCGATTCAACACCCAGAAAAGATTCGTTTCGCCTGAAGTTGGGGGCAACATTTGCTCAAGCAGCCAGGCATTGGCCACCTTCGAAGGGGAACCAAAAGGGGTTTGTTTGAACAACTGGTGTCTGAACATGTTCTCGGTGCGTTTCTCAACATAGGCGCCCCGTTTTGGGACGGTCTTCCGCTGGCCGTTTGCGTGTCGGCCCAGGGAAGGCCAGCGCCATGGTGGAGCGAGATAGGCAGATGCCCCTTGGCGAGATGTCGCCTGGAAGACGCGTTGGTTTTCTTGGTGAGTGGGTGCCCGTACGGGTGCCCCATGAGGGCACCCCACGGGTTTGGAATATCCCTGTTTGTTGAGAGTTTAGGGTACTCAAATGCTCTATATGGGGCGGCGCTTTAAAACGATATCAACGGGCAACAGCTCTTATTGAGGCTCCAGCATGTTGAGACAAACCTGCTTGGATCCACATAGTCAATGTGGGCAAATTGTGGCTGCGAAAGGCGGAGCTCCCCGTGTAACGTGATGCCCAAAAGGATGCCCACCTACAATCCATGCCTACATTTTGTTTTTTTGACTGGAACCCCGCAACAATACACGTATATTGGAGATCGTTCCAAGTATCTTTTGGCATCATGACTTGAACCTTCCTTTGGACACTTGCTGACTTCCGCTTCACCAATGCCCCTTGCCTTCCTTAATGTTTCGGGGCGCTTGCGTTTTCAGACATTCGGGGTGGGCCAATCTGCTTGAACAGTTGCCGCGTTGTTTGGTCTGAACCCTTTCTGGCCCTAACGATACACTTAATTTTCTGCTCTCCCAGCCCGCCTTTGATCATGTCTCCCTGATCCCCGTGCGTCAAACTTCCTCAAGCAGCCACAACGGGATCCTTAATGGAAGAGCGCATACGCAACTCCGTCGAATTTCTTCCCACCTCCGCGTGTGTGGAGTCAGATTTGGCACGCGGCGGCGGTTGGCCTAGGCACCTGCAAGCCAAGGAAGCTCAATATCAGCCCGGCACTTGGGGCAATGGGGAGGATGGAAACCGGGGATTTGGGGTGGCTTTGGGCATTGGTCTCGAGGCGCCTGGCTGGCAACGAGAAGTTTCGCACAGAGGATGTACGGCGGCGCCAGCTGGAGCTGGTCTTCCAAGGCTTTCCCTCTGCTGTCTCGGAGGACGTGCTTCAAGATCCATCCTTCCTGCCAGGTCGTGGTTTCGCTTCAGTGGTGCCCCACTAACTGCGGGTTGTTGGGGCATGCTGCGCGTGGATCCTGTCGGAGGAGCTCCCTTCTTTGACTCCCGGCATGGCGGAGGAGGTACGGGGTGGGGGGGCGTTCGTTCCAATGGTCATAACGCACGACCATGGTTGCACTTGCAGAGGTTCTACGCCAACCGGGCCTTTTTGCGGCAGCATGATTGTGCTTGTTGTTCAAGGGAAGCCAAACAAGAAACACAGGGTCCGCGGTTCCCTTATGCGACAAGCCCATGCGTGCGAAGTTCAAAATCCGTCAGTTGGGCCCCGTTTTTTTGAGGAAATCTCTGCAGCAACCACCCCCAACAATCCGGGAAGTGGAGGGTGTTGGAAGACTGTCATCTTAGGGCCCATTTTGGGTGCCCCACAAAAAAGGGAAAACAACAACAACAACCAAAAAAGAAGAAGCAGCAACACGCTATTAACACGTTGGTTTTCATGAAACATTGGAGCAGTGCCCTCAGTTCTTTCTTCGCCGCTTGGCCGCTTGGCGCGCCGCTTGCCAGGCCATGCTGCCCGTGGAGGCCAGCTCCCGGCAGGTGGAGCGCGACAGCCGGAAGCCGGGAACCCGAGGGTGCGGTGCATCCCGGGCGCGGTGCCCCGCTTTGCTTTTTTTTGAAAAGGAGGCAAGCCTTGAAGGAGGTGGTTTACCTTTTCATATCCCCTCGAAAAACAAAAACAACTACACGGAAAGAGGCGCCGACAAAGAGGCGCCCCCAAGCAAGACCCGCGCAGATTGTGCTTGAGTCATTTGGTGACTCGCGGGCTTCCTTCTGGGGGCATGCGCATTCCGAATATGTGCCCGCATCCTGGATCTCGAGCTTTTGCACCTCAATAAATGTCCCGCAGTTGCTTGTTTTCAGCGAGTTTCCTTCAACGTCATGTCCCTTCTCCGAATAGCTTTTCCTGAGGGTCTTCCTGCTTCGTCCCACATGCTGTGTTCCCGAAGATCATCCATATTGTTTTTCGACTTCTGGGCCCCGAGGTTTTCCTCTCGAAGCTGTACTCGAATTGCGGACGTTGACGCGTTGTGTCCAGATTGACCGACAAAGGCAGCAATTGTGTGAGTGTGTGTGTGTGCGCGTGTTGTAGCTGTAGCTTTCCGTAGCAACGCGTTCGAATTGTAAGGGGGTCTGATGCGCTGTTTCACCGCGACATTTTCAGCATTCGAAGACTCCTCATCGAAGTTGTAGAGCAATGAGTTCCTAGGCGGGAGTTGGACCTGTCCACATTTTGTTGCTTTTGTTGTAGGAAGCAAACAAGTGTCCCCTCGTCAAGTCGGAGGTTTTCGGCAGTGTGAGCCAGTGCACTGCTCGGTGCGGCTAGCGGCTAGCATTGCACCGGACACTGAGGCGCTGCGAAAGGCACAATGTGCAACTGGGCCTTATGTGGGTTCAATCGGCAGAGTCTCGCCACTGCGATTTCCAGTGTTCTGGGCGTGGGAGGAAATGGATTCTAAGCTTTTTGCTTGGTGAATTGGGTAGCTTCTTTCTGAGCAGGTCTTTTCTGCTGCCCGTCAGGTATTTTGCAGAACGCACTCCTCAGCTGCTTGGATCAGAGCCAGTCATCGTGATTTGGCCATCCGCACGACCGTGCATGTTCCAGTCAGAGGCTGCAAGCAGGTTTCACCCTACGAGCCGAGGACCGTTTTCCTGGTGCCGGACTTACTTTTTCGGCCCTGCGGGTCGGGGAGTCGGGGGAAGGCACCTGGGGAAGGCCACGTGTAAGGTCAAGCGACAAGGATGGATCTTCCAGTACGACGATGTCTGTGGGATCTTGAACAAGCTGGACGGTTGGATGGGCGCTGTCGGGCTGACCCCAGTATGGGGCATCGACCGGCTCCTTCGGCCAGAAGGGGCGGGGCGCATGGGGCATTGGGCCACAGTCAGGGAAGAAAGTGTCCGGGCGACGAGACCAACACAGCTACAGCTGGTAGTCCATTTGAACCGCCTATCAATAGGACTTGTCCGATTTCCATGGGGCAAGGCCCGCTCAGCGCCTGAGTTGGGTGTCCCTAGCAAGGTGCTGACAAAAGGTCCAACAATCCGGCAACGGGAGGGAACTAACACTCAGTTCTGCGGAAACATGGTTTAGCGATAGGCAAGCGATGTTCCGTGGACATTGGAGTGGTTTGGCTTCTATCAACATGAGGTCGACCTTCTCACAGCTCCTTGTGGACTTAGACCTTCGGCACGAGGAGACGTGCGGGGTGCAGCTCCGGTGTTGGTCACCTGCCTTGACTTGGCGGCTGCTCGCTCGATTCTCGCCTGCTGGGTACTCAGTTCTTAAGTGAGTCAAGCTCAGCGTGCTTCCCGACCTGTGAGTTTCCACCACCTTGTCCTTTCTTGCTGCTTGTGTTGGGGCCACTTCACACGCACACCACCTGAACCCTCGTTTTTCGTGAGTACTGGAAACCCAGGATTAATCCAACTTGGCGGCTCAATTTGGGGGCCACAAAAAGTGAGAGGCCCATTAAAGAGGGCTTTATGAAGCCCAGGTTCCCAGCAGGAAGAATGACTTGGCATATTGTTTGGGGGGGGAAGCTCGAGGGTGGTTCGAAGCCCGCTGTTGTTGTCTTAAAGCCTCTTGTTGTGACCCCATTGTTCACCCACCTGTTGCATTCCGGGTCCAATTTCGAGAATCCTGGAGACCTCATGTATACCAACTTTAACTTGAAGGGAAGCTGTTTTTCCTTTTCGAGGAAAAGGGTGGCTGAACCTTCACTCAAAGGCATGGGGCGCTGTGATGACCATTTGGCGGCCCTTTAGGACCCTAGGATGAAATGAACAAACAATCAAGCAAACACCTTATTCAGAGATAAACCAACCTTTCCCTCGACTCGTGACTGTCGCCAGGAGCGGCTGCCCTACGTCTGGGCCCACCAGGTCTTCGACGCCTATGCGCAGCCCATGCGCCTTGCGCCCGGGGATCCAGACTACGACGAGCTTCCGGACCTGCTTGGGCGGGGATGTTTCCCCCATGAAAGCGCACAGGGGGCGGTTGAGCTGGTGGTTTTCCCCCTGTCCGCCTGCCAAAACCGTCACCCTTTGTGGTGGGTGGCATTTTGTGCGACATGTTCAGCAACCCTGCGGGAAGTTTCCCCAAGACGAGCAATTGCCTACTAGTGGGGGGAGTGCACAGGCACTCCTGAATTTGTGGTTGGGCTGGTAGTTGGGAGGTGCGCCCGTGGCCAGCCCCTTGGTCCCCAAACCGCCAAGCTGAACTACCAGTGAGGGGGAAGCTGAGGGCTAGCTGAAGCCAGGCATCAATCGCCTTTGGGCTGGGATTGATGGTTTACTGTCAAACGACCTGCTCACGGGGTAGTATTGGAGCTGGAAGCGCGCAAGGACTTCTGTTGAACAAAGGCCCATGACCATGCGCTCCATGGGGGCTCCAGGGGTCTCAGCGTGTGCCGAAGCCACGCGCAGGACGGACGCGTGAGATCTGCCATGTGCGTCTCGAGATGGGACTTTTGCGCGGTACTGGACCGGCACCTTGGCATTGCAGGCTGCGCAGTAGAATGGGTCAGCCCGTGTTGCAAGCCGGCGATTTGCCTTTATCAGCCATCAGACAACAGCTGGACCTGCAAGATGGTGCACTGTTGGCATTGAGGAGCTTGGTCTGTTGTTTTTTGTGCGGGTGCCCCCTCACCAATGTATGAAAGAAGGGACCTGTCTCCGTACATTATTCCAGAGTCAGCGGATTTCATGACTTTGCCAGTTTCTTTCTTCAACGCCACTGCCGTGAATTGCTGGAGGCCCAACTGTTTCTTCATGGGCAGACCTCCAAAAGTATTCCTCCAAACAAGTGAAGGTTCCAGCAAAAAGGTGGGCTCCCGCTGTCAACCGACCAGGGGCTTGTGCATCCTGGGCCCAACATGTCCTGGCCATGAACTCTAGTGAGGAATCATCTCAAAAGCGGTTGGTGGACATCAATCCCCACCTAAACCAACTAAATAAATCTAAATAGATACCTATAAGTACCTAAAATGACGTCCACAGGGCCCGTGCCATCCGAAGCCACGTTGGTCCTTGGCACCGTTAAGGCGTTTACCTCTGTTGGCTCAGGCTGCTGCGCGCCCGCTTCGAGCGGAGCCCCCGCGAGGAGTTCCTCACCCGGCTGCGGGCGGCCTATGGCACTCTGGGCCGCGACGCTTGGCACGGGCGGGGCTTAGACCTGCTGCGTCCCTTCTCAAAGACTTTTTTGTTTGAGGGTTGAGGTGCTCAACATGACTTTGGGTGTCTTCCCACGACACTCATTCAGAGGGTCTTTTGGAGGAAATAGCTTTAGTGGACCCAGCGTGAGAGTAATGTCAGCCTGGATGAACTAATCCCTGCTGGATGTTTAGTGTGTGCGTCCCGATTTGGAGGGGATGCGGATTATTGTTGCAGCGAGCAGTCGTTATTCGTCCGGACAAATGTACCCTGGCCATCCTGACGATTTCCTTTGCAAGACTTTGCCACGTAGTGAGCTGGGATGCATGTGATCGACCGCCATCGCCTGCCAGGAGTGGAAGAATCGAGAGGAACTCGGACAGCAAGAAGCAGCGTTGTCTTTTCCCCTTCGCTGTCCTCAACAAAACGGGTGCCTTCTGTTTTTGACGTCCCTCATGCGTCCGGTAGGAGGCGAGCAAAGCCGCCGCGGAAGAATGCCAGCGCCAGCAGCTCTTGAAAGCACAGCGCGAAGGCGCCAACTCGGTTGGCATGTCGGTCCCTCGATGCTTGGTGTGGGTCGGCTATGGTGAGTCCCGCGCAGGGCCCACGGCTTGGGGCGATCGCTTGCCCTTCTTGTTTGAAAGGCTTTCGCAGCTCAGACCACCAAACCGACACAAAGGGAACCCTGGGTTGAAGGCCGCCTTTTGGTTCGGCAGGCTGAATCAGTCAACATTGGCTTTGAGCCTTTCTGACCGCCAGGCAAGGCCTTCAAGCCTGCCAAGGACTGAATCTGTAGGAGAGGGTACCCCATCCGGCCACACCCAATGGGGTGCTGCAATTGGGGTATGGTGCCAGGCTTGCTCGGGCTGTCTTTGCTAGCCAGCTGAGAGCAAGACCCGTAGGAGCTCAAAGCCAGTCAGCGGTGGAAATTTGACCGTCATGCTTCAAGCTGCCTGCTTGCAATGCAATTGCTTCGGCTGAGAGCTCGCGCGCACGCAGACAATGTTGCGCATTGGATCTTGAGAAAGGGCTGTGCCATCATGTTGGCGAGGAGGCTGAGCCTTCGATCAAGACTGATCCTTTGTTACTGTCGTGTCGTAGTGAGGTTCGAGACGGTTTTTGTGTTGTTGCCTACCTTCGGCCGGCTTGCTGCACGGAAGGTATGCTGAAGGAGCCGGAAGCGCCTTGCCAGATTCAAAGATGCAGGGCCACGAGGTCTTCCTTTTGTCAAAGTAGAATGGGCCAGAATGGGTTTGTACCCGACCAAGTTGGGTGCCCCTTGCCGTCCTGGTAAAACATTGGCGTCCTTGTAAAAAAACATCTGGAACGAGTACCCCCCTAAAGAAAATACATTGCAAAGTAGCCAGCATCCCAGTCTCACATGAGGTGATGCGGATTGCCGAGCAGTTCCGCAAGGTATTCAGCAGGATCTTTGCTTGTTACGCCAGCGAGAAGGAAAATCGGCACATGTTGCAATCGGATCTGGTGTCGTTTTGCTACGACGTGTGCTTAGTGCCAGACTTGGTTTCGCGGAATGACGCATGGTTGCAAACTTCGGTTTGGCTTTGACATTTTCACTTTTCAACTTGATTGAACATGACGGGGGGTTGCCCACTAAGCGGGGCCTAGCAGACCAAGGAAGTGCAGCGTGTCTACGGGCTGGCCGTGTGCTTGGACAAGCCGCTGGAGGAACCCCCGAGCCTCTCCACATCTCTATCCACCACGTCTCAGAGCTCCCAGTCGCTGGTGCCTCCGGCTCCCCAAAGGAGTTCGTTCAAGTCGCGAAGCAAAACCATCAAGGACCTTGGGTTTCGGCTCGATCGTCCGCATTTTTTTGCAGCGCCCTGAACGTAGATCATTTTGAAGTCTTGCGGTTCGCTTTTGCCTTGGATTTTTGAAAAGTGGAAACTGCCGTGTGGGTTTTAAGATTGCAGCCCTGAAAGGATGTCATTGTCAAGAAGAGGGTGTCGTCGTCGCTGGCGCAATCTGGATCCAAAGCCTCCGACAAGCCGAAACTGCACTCGAAGCGTACGAAAGCAGATCTTGGCGAGGATGCGAAGCACCCTGGGCTTGATAGGCAGGGTGGCATGACCAGAAAGATGTGCTAAGTGGATGCAAATGACCCACGGAAAGAAATGCCGCTGGTAGACTGTAGTGAGCACAGTATCATAGAGGGCAAGTTGCACATGCGAGCCATTCAAGCCGTTTGGCGAGATGGCCTTGCAAGATTCCGGCCGAATGTTTTTGTAGTCGTCGTATGGGGGAGGGGGACTTGAGAAATTCAGAAAGAGTTCTAAGGCGGCATTGCTGAGAGAAAGAGAGAGACAGAGAGAGAGAGAGAGAGAGAGACAGTTCTCAGCTCAAAGCCGGCACGCCCGGGTGCAGGCAGCATAGCCACGACACCGAGCCTGAGGCTAAAGCAGGCGGGCTGCGTGGCCTTGCGGCCTGTGCGAAATCCAAAGTGATAAGCTGAAGACGGCACTATGCCGGCCACCAAACCTGGCTATAGATTCTGGGGGAGCGAAGGGCCCAGGGAAGATCAATCGCAAATGCGGATAGCCCAACTACCCCCTCCCCCAAGAGAAAGAAAGTTGTTTAGAGTTAGAAGCTGTGAAATTTGCACACCCTGATGACCGCTCCACTGGGCGGGGGAAGGCAAGCCGAAGCCAAGCAAGCCGATCTTCGGGGTGGCAGCGTTTGCGGAGAGCCTTTGCCGCCTTATCATCGGCTACTTGCTGATCTATGGCAACAGTCGCTCGGCTGAAGACCTTTCAAACTGGATTGTTTTACCAAGCTTCATATGAGCCTGTTCCAAGGCGGCTTGATGTGTTTGGTTGACGCTTTGTGTCTTTTCATCGTGCAGTTGACCGCAAGAATGGAGTCCTGAAAATCTCTCGCTGGTGCCTTTGGAAGGTGGGGGTCACAGTTGCTTGCACTTGGGGCCATGAATCCTAGATTGCAAAGGGGGAGAGAGGTTGCGAGGCATTTCCTTGGTTGTGCAGGCGCTGTTTTGTTAGACCGTGGGTCAAGCAAAGGAACGTCTGTGGTGCTGTCTGCAGCTGAGGCTTGCAGCAGACGATGACCCCAGAAGCGCGGGCAGTCTGGCTGGTCAGCTACCTCTCAGAAGCTGTGCCGCTCGGCTTTCCCGAATTCGAGTGCGCTTCACTTCCTCGGGCTTGGTTCACAACGAGCCGCTTTTTAAATCGAGCCGGCGCGGCCCCGCTGTGCCACTCATTCGGTCTCAGGCGGCAGGGCCGATCTTCGAAGCCCACGGGCCACGTGCCAGATTGGCCCGGCTGGCGGGGCGCCGCTTGGGCCAAGATGTTGGAGACCCTGAAGGATCAGGACAGATGCAACGCGTGCTACCAGGGTCTTTATATTCATTCCCTCCTTTTGGGCTACAACATTGCTTTTTTGGGCGGCATTGCAGTAACAACCTTGCCGCTGGGTGATGCATACAGGGGGACGTATTCGGAAGCCTATGCCATGGAAACCATCCTGGCCAGACCAGGGGGGGAATGGTGAGCAAGAGGGCCTCTCTGTTTGGGAGTTGTAGCTCTGCCGGGCACCTCAGATCTGGTTGCCAGCCCACTTTGAAATTGGTAGATGCCTCGTTTGGGGGCATGTGTATGAACAGCAGGGCTTTTAGGAGCATTTACGTGTATGTATATGACTCTTGTATACACCCTCATGTGCACCCCGTATATTACATGCCTCACATATGCCCCATGAACCGGTGGGCCCCCCAGTTCACAGGGCAGGACTTTTGTTTTGTGGCGCGGAAGCTTCCAGGCCACGCGGCTACACCTGGGAATCCTGGATGAGAGATGTCTGTATTTTGGTGTTTCTCAGGGCACCTGAATGTTTGGGATGGTTTCGAGGGAGCTGGAAAAGGTTTTGTCGACCACCCATCTTTGGGGGTGCTCTGGGTTGTAAAGACGAATCCCCAGAAGCCCACAACAATTCTCCTCGAGGAGTTCGCCGAGGCGGTTCGGCCGACTTTGCAGGCGCCCCGCGGAGAGGACGGGTTCGCTGGGTTCAAGGCGTGAAGCGAGGAAACAGGCCGCCTTTTTTTCGATATGGTCTGGGTTTCTATGGCAAAGCCCACGCAAGTCTCCTGTCAAGACTGATCCTTGTGCTTGAGACTCACTTCATGTGGAGACCAAATGGTGCGCCTTCTTCGTGCTACCCCCTGAGAAATGGTAGCGCAAAGTTTTTCGGAGATGTCGGTGAAGGCGACCCGGCTTTGATTCTGAATTTCAATGAAAGGGCTGGCGCAAAATACCCCTTGATTCAGCTGGCGAACGTGAGTCGGTTCTGCCGCGTTGATGTTGGTTGAAGGGCGGGTACAGCACACATGGCCAGCAGGAACGCAGCGATGACATCCAGCCGGAAGATCTGCGGCCCTCCCACCGGGGAACTACTCCCGAGTCTGAGGAGGACCTGGCGGATGATTCCTCTGAGTTAAGCACCGTGATGCAGGTGGACGTGCCCTCCCTGACAAAAGACGCCCCTGAGGCCCAGGGGTGGCTTTTTGCCAGGCACCTGGTTTGCACGCTCGACCTGACCGCCAAGAAGCGGCGAGGATCCAAGGGCGAGAAGGCCCGGAGGCGCTCGAGCGCCGCTCGGCCGTGAACGTGGGGAGTGCCGGCGACTTGCGGCGGCTTGCCGGCTGAAACTGGCGGCGATCTTTGGCACTCTTGCCTCATGTGATGAGCTTGTTAGGTTCAAGAGTTTGTACCATTTTGTGCCCAAATTGCAGCCTGGACATTTTGCAAGTCGGTCCGCTTGGCATGATCCAGTTTCACCGCCAGCGCTTAGTCGTGGCGCAGTGAAAGTTGAAAAGGGTTCGAGGAGCGACTTCGTGGCTGCGTGAACTGTACGGGTATTGTGCAGGTGCAGCGCACATGGGACTTCTGCGATGCGTTGGTCCAAGCGGCACTATTTCCTCGGTCATGTTAGCCCATAGCGAGGAGCCCCAGGAGCGAATCGTGTTTATCCCTCGGACATGGTGCCGGGTGCCATGGGTCGGCCCGATGCCGCTGTTGTACCTCCCTGGGCAGCGGAAGCGGCTGGCCAGTCGGCGACCCAAACCCGTCCACTGTCAGCGCCCACATGGACAGAACAACCTTTTGGCCGGACCCAACAGGAGAACATTCTACTCATACAGTGCATATCTGGGCGGAGTCTGTATGAGGCGCTTGACCCCGCGCTCTGGGCGCAAGATGGTGGCTTCAGTAGGCCAGGGCCCGCTCCAGAGGCCTTTGGCCATTTTGAGGCCACCGCCAACTCTGCCAGGACCGTCGCATACTTGCTCCCTACGACTGGATGACAGCTTGGGCCCCAGCTGTGCCGAGTCACACTTCAGGTCAGTCGCAGTCAGAATCATGATCCTCCCTGATTCCCAGTTGGTTCATTGGTTCAACCATAGAAGAATAGCATGGTAGGTGCCGCCGTGTTCCAAGCTGGCTTTGCACAGCTTGGGGCGGGTAGCGAAAACGCTGCCAGGTTCCGGCAACGGCGCCACGCTCAGCCACTCCGGAGGGCCCCACATGGTAAGAGGGCTGTGACGCGGGAGCTAAGGATGGCTTTGGTCACCCAGGACGGGGGATGCAAAGCTTCAAAGGCCCGCGCCCATGTGATCTACCCTTTTCTTCCATGGGTGCCGAATAGCACCACATATATTTGTTTACCCAAAGGAGCCCAAAGCGGATCGAGAATCGCTGCGTTTTTCCAGACCCCTTGGCACCCTTCCCTCGGCAGGGCCTCCGCCGAAGGCTTCCAGAGGACGGGGCATGGGCGGCCTTGCCTGTTTCGGCGCAGGTCGAGGAGCAGATTTCAGGTGAGCCATGGCATGCCATGGCCATAGATGTTTGGTAGCCGGGAGCCGCTTGGCCATTTGCAAGGCAGGCCCCCTGAAATGGGAGCGATCCTTCTTTGGCAGTACTTGGTGGCTTGCCCTGGTGGATCGCGGGCTATTTTCAAGTACCTTGACGGTTCATCCCTGCAACCCAGTAGGCATCCTTTATATGTATTTATAGACATATACATAGACAAACGCACCTGTTCACTACCGCATCCGCTATATGAAGCTCAAATGTGGGCTTATGCCTGCCCAAGAGGTACGTCACATGGCTTCTTGAGTGGGCCTGCTGGGTGCTGTGCCCCCCTTGACATATTTTTTTCGAGTACCCCCCCTCTGCGATTTGCTCAAAGGACAGGCAAGGCAACCCGTGGGCGGCTCTCAGCCCAGAGCCTTCCGCGCCCTTGCGCGCCGCGAGGAGCAGCAAGTCCTGGGACATCTTCTCGGGGCGCCGGGATGGACCTCAGGTGCGCCTCTTTGCGCCTGCCGGGTGAGTGCTCCTCTTCTCGCAGTGCCATGGAAGTTGTGAAGCATGACTTCAAGTACCACTTTGGGAGTTGGACGACTTGGACGACTTTAAGGGGATCCTGCATCCGCTGATTTCCTTGGGAAGTGGGATGCTGTCAACTCCGTGTGCGTTGCCTGCGACTCCCGACCCGTGCCAGGAGTTCCTCACCCCGCGGGCGCTGCGGAAAGCCAACCTGGCGCGGTCCCCAGCGCTGAAGTGGCTTGAGGTTGTGAAGAAGGCAGGCCCTGGTGGACCTGAGGACAATCGACCTGGAACGAACAAAAAGTGAAGTTTTTGCGGGGGTTCTCAAAATTGCTTGTGGGGGTGCACTAGTTAGAGGGTAATTTTGAGGATGACACTTGAATCGACACAGTTAGATTTAGCATCTTGCAATTGAATGCCCCCCCCTCCACCATGTGCAGCGACTGTTGGAAAGAGGGTGGGTTTCCTTTTAGGTTTCCAATGGTTTCCCAAGTTTTTTTTTTGGGGGGGGAGAACACTGCAAGGACAAGAAACCTCCCGCATGGCCCATCCACGAGCACAGGCCAATGCTCCGCCTGGCGCCTGGGGATGGCTGGGTGCCGTAGGGCTTTTGTGTTACACCTTCAAGGCTGCGTCTTTGGGTTTGTCAACGCCAAGAGCAAACCTTGCGGTTTTATTTTGGTTTACTTGGGAGTACTGCCAGGTGGGAAAGTTGGCAAGGGTGGGTGCAGTCCCACCCTTGGATCCGGGCTGGACATAAGGAAAGCCGGTCTGTGTGCGTAGCCAGGGCACCTTTCGGGTCGGCGTCACGGGCGTGCCGCAGATTCCGGCTCAAGCTGTTGGCGGGGCCTGGAGGGCGCGAGCCAGCCTCGGTTCGGCCTGGGAGGATGCTACATGCCCCTCGGCAGAACTGTGGGCGGCATTGGAATTACAAACGCCAATGGCCGTGAACATCCATTCATAAAGCTCTGTAGTGCTTCAGCTTCGCCCTCATTGGTGGTTTGGATGGGCAGATTGCGGATGTGACAGCCTAATCTCCAAACCACCAATTAGAGATGCTGACTCCGTGCTCTTGCTTTTTGGCTGGAGAGGGGATTGAACATGAAACCACCCGTTGGCATGCCTGTGAGCATTTTGCGGTGGCAGGGTGCATGTGGATTCCTGGTGCTGACCGGTTCCAGGGTCTTTCCCATTCGCATTGGCTGAAAGCAACCCCTCGAGGCCATCGGATGCTGAGGAAGGCCTGGAGGCTCAGAGGCTCCCGCAGAAAAGGTGTGGTCAGCCGGGATTGGCGCCTCTGGCAAGCTTGCAAGTGCTGAGGCGCGAGGAATGTGCCCCCAAGGGACAATATTTCAAGTGAGCCCCCGCCCCTTTGTTGGGGGCTCCCCAGACTTTTGCGCGACTTAAGGCAATGGCCAACAAGGCCCCGTCCCTTCGCGTGCAGGCGGGCGCAAAACTTCCATGGGTGAGTTGCAAGGGGAGCTCGATTTAGCACCAAACTCACTGGGCAGTTGGGGTATGTAAGATACAAGCGTCTTTGATTGGTACTTTGGATCGACGTAACGTTGATCCCATATTAATCAACTGGATGACTAGGTGGATTTCAGAACGAATGGGGCGTCCCGCCCTATTTATCAACCAAGGGCTTTATCCATTCTGGGTCAACATAAGCGACACTGAATCTTCAATAAGCGACCTCCCCTGAAGAAGCATCTTGTTTTGGAGTTCCGTACCTGGCGGGTGGAGCAGAGCAACTCACCCCGGTGCATCGCATCATTGGCGGACTCACAGCATGTGGCGACGGGGGCGGCGCAATCGTGGGCAGGCGGAGAAGCGAAGTGATGCAGGGGGTGGCAACTTGCCGAGAGACTTGCCTCCAAAGCTGCTCTCCTGCATTTGAGCTTCCATGGCACCCCATTGCTAAACTTCGGCTCTTCATGTCGCCATGGATAAGGCTGAAGCCTTATTTGCCACTACGAGACTGGGAGAAGCACCTTGGCCAAACCTGCCGGTGGCAATCATGCGGAAGACATTTGCCTGTGTCGAGGTTCCGGGACACAGTCAACAAGGCGTTGAAACAGGAAAAGGCGACGCGCCAGCGAATTCGCGGCACGGGCGGCCGCTGGGCAGATATGGCGGGACGCTTCACCCTATGTGTGGTTGGTTTTTTGTTGAGCCATGATTCCTGGGGGAGTGAAAGAATGGGTTCTTGAGGCACAAGAGTTGCATGTCTCCCGCAGCCCTGACTTGGCACTTTGGATTCCCTGCGACCCCAGGCGTGCCCTTCCTGCTTGGAGCGGTCTCAGTCCTTGGCTCCTGTGTTTCAATGGCTGGAGCCTCAAGGCTTCAGGCGAGCGCTTGCTTGCCCGGCCTGTCAGTTGCACTGGGATGAAAGCAGATGGCACGCTCTTCACGGGGTGAGCGTAGGATGCTTTGGCCAGCAGGGGAATTCTGGTTGCCGAAGGGCAGACGGTGGCGCAGCTGGTTGGCGATTTGATGGACTGAGGTTCTTCTGCATATCCTGCAGCTTGACACTTTGTTCGGCGATGCGCTGCTGGCTATCCCTCCAGCAATAGCTCTTTGCTTCTGGGCATTCGTGCGTGTCCTTCTAATGAGCCTTGCCGGAATTGGTTGGAAGTTTTCCTCCTGGCCGCCTTGCAAAGAGGAACGTCGTCTTCCAAACAGGGCGTCTGCACCACGCCACTTTTGTTGGAGAGGCTTCGTACAAGTGAGCGTGGGAATCACCGGCCGAGGAAGCACTCGCGCAAGCACGCCCACGCGTTGCAAGACGTTACAGGCAGGAGCGTAGATGACCATAGATGACCATAGATGACCATAGGCACATGATGCAGCTTTGCTTGGCCGCCTTTGGTTCTGCATGGGGATTTAACATGAAACAAAGTAGCCCCCAGTTCGTGGAAGGAAGTTTAGAACCTCGTTTCGCCAAACAGGGGCGGCCAGGTGAGTTGAGCGTGGGCAGTGGCATCACCTCCCGAGGTGTCTTGAAGAAGGCGTGCCACCAGCTAAGCCAAGATCACCGGATGCTGGCAGTCACTATGCACATTGGCGAGGAGGCAGGCCGAAGATTCAGCGAGCGACCGTTGCAAGCGAAAAACTGGACACATGAGCTTCGTTCAGCTCTCAACAGTTGAGCTGAAACGAAAACGCGAACCAAAGGTTTGCAAAAACCAACCTGCGGCACGCCAGGTCTGTGATAGGGAAACCAGCCATGGGTCAAAGGATGCTCGACATTTCGCCTGCTTGGATACGAGCGGAGGCGATTTCCAAGCTAGATTGGTTCCAGCGCGCCGTCGCCGCTGCCAAGGACCTCTTGCGTTGCCGTTTGCAAGCCCTGCGCTGATAGGCACACCCGCAATTCTCCAGATACTGTTTGGGGATGTGCTTTGTTGCGGGTACTCGGTTTGGGCTTGGTAAGGAGACCTCTGTTGAAAGGGTTCCCTAGGTGTGTGGAGAAGCCCGAAAGTCATCGAAAGTCTTCAGAAACTAAGAGGCCTAGAGGCCTACGGAGGCTCGGAGCGCAGCCAGATGGCCCAGAAGGGCAACATCAATGAACCCAGATGTTCAAGCTTCAAATTGTCAAAGCTCAGTTGATTTCACAGGTCGAATATGCCGGGCCCTTGAACTTTCGGGCCGAGTTTTTCGGGGAAGCCCGCAGTCTCGGACAGACCATTGGACCGGTGCTGATGTTGCCGCTGTGTTTCGCCTAATTAAGGCGCCCCAACATGCCCACGCGCCAAGACGTGCTGGGAACTACCCGACCTCGACCAGCCCCGGCTTGGCGGACTTGGGGGCTTCGTTCACGAATCGCAGGATACCTTTTACATCGAGTTCCGGATCCTTGAGGGCATGGGCCAGGAGTTCCTGCCGGAACCCCAGTTGACAGGTTCGAAGCCGCGGGACGCCCCACCTTGTTCTTAGCGAATCCTCCGGGTGGGTCCGTGGCAACGCGAGAGGGTAAAGCGCCAAACGCGACCATGGCCGGCGAGAGAGTCGACGCGCAGGGGTGACGGCGGCGAGAAGCCAGAGGACAGCACACGCCCGCCGAGCGGTGGCAGTGGGAGCCGGAGACTGAGAGTGCACCTGGCAATTCCCCCAAAAACGGTCAACCCACTTCGTAAGCCGGTTGAAACCAATCGATATTTGTCCAACCTTTGTCGGGCATTACCAGCATACTAACTGAGTCGACCATAGTGCCACGAGCAGCGCCAGCGTGGCAACGGTGCCGAGGCTCGCTGCGAGTTGCCGCGCTCGAGGCCGGTGTGCTTGACCCTCCGGGCTTGCGCAGCGAGTGGCGTCAGGACATGCTGCAGCTCCGCCCCATGTCGGTCGCTGCCTCGGTGCCATTTGCAGTCTTTCGGGATAGTCGGAGATGGCAAGGCCCCAGATGTCCAGCTGGAGGTTGGGTCTCTGCGTTCCTGGAGTCCCAATGCGTTGTGCGACTGGCTCCCAGGGCGCCGACTCCCCGTCGATTGGCAGAACAGCGTGGTCAGCCGGGCCCCTGAGCCCACTCGCGCTCCAAGCCAACTGTGCATGAAGAAAGGCCAGCACCAGTTGGACCATTTGGCCAGCTTCCAACTGAGGGCAGCTCCAGAACCAGCAAGCAGGCGCATGGGCTTTGAAATGTGTCCACTCGCTCGAGCGCTCTGCGCGGCAGGCTTGGACGTAGACACGTGCTGACGCCGTTGAGTCCAGGACCCTGTTTTGTGTTTGGAGGTCGTGGATTCACCTCTGCAGTTTTATTCCCCATATGATGGGATCCTCCCAGTGATGCCTTCTGCGACACCATGCCACCGCTAGAGGTCGGCACGACTGGATCGCGTCGGGTTGCGGGGCCAATTCCAAACGGAGGGAAGTACTTTGCCGGACTGAGCATGCGGAAGTGGCGCACCAAGTTCCAAAGGAACAGCGCGGTGGAAAAAAGAGAGTCTCCACAAACGGGAACACCATGACTCTCACTCTCTCTGCCTCTCTCCCTCCCTCTCCCCTCTCTTTGTCTTTGTCTTCGGCACTCTTTTTCTCGCTCTCTTTCTCTTTCGCTTTTTCTCTTTCCCTCCCTCCCCCCCTCCCTTCCTCCCTGGATTTCCAGCTACCGTGGTTGGCTTCTTGGCTGCCAATCGGAAAGCGCATGCTTCCAAAAAAGCCTGAGCCATCCTCCACGCATCATCCGGGGGTACACGATCCTCATAGCAAACCATAGCGAGCCCCACTTTTTCCCTGTTGGCTTCGAAGGGAGCCGGTGCTGACTTGTACACAAATCCTGTTTTGATATATGTCATATATGTCCCTGGGAACTTCGGGCGGCTCCCACCGCAAGGCAGCCGCTTCGGCTCGCCGGCACGGAGCCATGGGCAAGAAGCGGCGGCGCGATGAGGAAGGCGAAGCCGAAGCCGCAGGCCTGGAGGATTGGGTGGTTTCATTGCGGTCTCTGTGTGCCTCTTTTCCTGAGGTTTCCCTTGGCTTCCTTTTTTCCGAGTTTCCCCTTGGCGCCACTCCCCCCCCCCCAAAAAAAAAAAACAATAGAAAGAAGAGACGTGGAAGAAACAAGCACCAATGAAACGGCCACTAAAACGAGGTAGCTACCCACAGCACATCCCACTTCCGGTTTGGCTCCGTCAGGTGCTCCGGGCGCGGATGAGGAGCTGCCGCCGCAAGAAGCCGCAGGCTCCTTGGCGTCTAGTGGTGGTTGGTCGCAAAATGGGCGTGTGAACCAAATGTTGCAAGAGCCGAGAAAACCAGGAGCGATGTCCTGCAAACAACGAACATGGTTGCATTTGGTTGGATCTGCTTGGTTCACTTGTAACATGTGGGGGGCGGGGGATACATGAATTGTTTTCCTTTTTGTTTAACGGGGGGGAGGAACAGCAAACGATCACGTTTGTGTCTTGTTTAAAAGGAAACGCTAAAAGAAGCAGTCACTTGGACAAACCAAACTTGAGGATGTAGTGAAATGGAAAATAGGAAATCAGCCTTGAGGAGGTTCAACTCATTTTGAGAAGCACTTATTTGGAGCGCGCGCGGGCCGAGGCAGAAAGTCGAAGAAGGGAGCAGGGGTCTCAGACTGCCGTAGCTTTCACTAGTTCGACATGGGACCTCAGAGTTCCGGAGGCTTGGAAGAGCTGCTTCCCGCTTCTGTGATGCCATGGCACCCCCCCTTTGTGAAGACTTCGTGCTTGGAAAGGCCTATTCTTCCCAGCATGCCAGAAGTGAGGGCAGGCGGTTTCGCACAACCCTGGTCGGGTTCCATGCAGTCTTGCCCCCACCTCGTGACCTCGTGGGACCCTTGCAAAATGCTTGGGCTTCCAGCGGTAGTACTCCGTGGCAGTCTCAGGTGGTGCATGTCCGGGACCTCACTGAGGCGAAGCTGGAGGAGAGCTCGCGTGTTGTTGGTTCCTTGTGGTTTAATGGGTGTCCCTCCGGGGTACTCACCAGCTCCAGAAAAGGAGCCTGGGAACCACCCCAAGTTTGCGCTGCTGTTGTTCTTTTGGCTGTGCGTGTTTGGAGGAAACGAAGCCCTTTTGGCTTTCAGGGGCCTGCATTGTGGACAAAATGCATCGCACTTTCAGGCCCTTGGGCTCAAAAGCGCCAGCCAACAAGGGCGGGGGACAGTTCAGCTCACAGCTTGTTAGCCACATGTGACGGCCAGCTTTGATGCAACCAACAAGGCTTCATTCAGTGATCGTTGTCACAGACGTCGAGGCCAGACTGCCAAGTGCCACCTTGCCGCCATGGTCATCAAGGCTCACATCAAGAAGTTGAAGCCTTATAAGCCTCCGCTTGAGGGCCGGAACCCCCACAAGTATGTCCTTCTCGATTTCAACGAGCGCACAATGGAGGTGCCCGACTTTGTGAAGACCGCGCTGAAGGACTTCATTGACAACGGGGGCCTGCAGAAACCCATGCCTGCAGTGGCACCTTCTTTTTTTTTGGGAGAGGTTTCCCTTCAACAACAACCAAGACAGCAGGTGCCTTCCCCATGACCACCGGGCTGAGGAAGTATCCCTCCTACGGAAACCTGCAGGGTGACATCGCCGCCTACTGCGGGGTCAAGACCGAGGAGGTCATGTTCACAAACGGCTCGGATCAGGGCATAGACTTGGTCATGCGCTGCTGTTGCGAGAAGGGCTCCGAGGTGATCATTCCATCCCCCACCTTTGCCATGTACCATTGCCAGACTTAACTCACCTTTCTGCCCCGAAAGGATCCTGGGTTTCCTCTGTCTTTCCCCCTTTTTCGTTTTTTTTCTTTTTTTTTCTTCTTTTTTTTTTCCCTCAGCAAAGGGTCCATGTTTCTGAAGAAAGAGTTCGCTTTTTTGTCCGGATCCGACGGCCAAGGTACGAGCAGGCGGCGGAGAGCGAGGGCTTGGTCATCCGCCGCCCGCACTTCTCCAAGGAGAAAGGCTTCCCCTTGGAGGAAGTGCTGGCCATGGCGGCTTGCCTTAGATCCACGATCCATACTCTGCCGTTTCTTATTATCATTTTCAATATCCGCACATGCTTTGTTGCTTGTTTGTTTTGTATTGGAGGGGGGGTCGTGCTGAAGATTGTGGTGGCGGTAGTTTCAAAGCGAACAGTTCAATCTTCTTCGCATCAACGCTATTACACACACACACACATATGGTTTTGTTCAAGCTGTTTTCATTTCTCGTTCTTTTCTCCTGAAATAGATTTGCAGGTTCACCTTTTGAGGCCAATGGATTGAGTTTTCTTGGCCTCCATGAGGTGAGCCCGAAGACCTCGCTGATCGTGCTCAGCAATCCCAACAACCCCACGGGCACCGAGATCCCCAGAGAGGCCATCATGCGGGTCGTGAAGGAGGTCACCTGCGCGGTCCTGGTGGACGAGTGCTACTTTGAGCCTCCAACCTCTGGTCACGGTTTTAGACAAATCTGTGGAAAACTCGTGGAAAACGGGGGGGGGGGGTTGGTGGGCTTTTGTTGGGTGAGGTCATAACTTTTGAGTAGGTTTAGGGCGCGTTCGAAGCAGCAGCCCTTGTGTTCCAATTTTTGTGCCCAAGGAGTTCATGGACCCGGCGACCACGGTGGCCAAGGCGGCTTGGGGCGGGTTGGGATTGTCTTACAGGAGGGTCAGAACCAGAGCTTTGCTTAGACCCTTTGCAAAGCTTCCTTTGACTCTATCTTCCCTGGCTGAACAGGCTCTGGGGTGGTTTGGGTGATGTGGGTTGCAAAGAACTCCAAGCCCATGGTTGTGGAAAGTTAGGCTTCGGCTCCCTTTAAAGTGACAAAGTAGTCACACGGAAGCTTCGGCATCACACGGGTTATTTCCCGCAACCATGATCCAAGCCTTTTGTGTGTGTATTTGCATGTTTGTCAGGGTGCCCTTTCTGGAGTTGGTTTGAAGGGAAACAGGAACACCACAATTTCTGGTCTTCTCCGAAAGGTTGTGGTTTCCAACCGTCGCCTGAGCTCCAGCAGGAGGTGGGCAACTTTTCGAACCTCTTCGTGTGCCGCACCTTCTCAAAGACCTGGGGCATCCCCTCCCTGCGCCTGGGGTACCTCATGTCGGCTGCGGCCAACATCGATGCGGTGACCTGCGTGCGGGGGCCCTATGACATCAACCAGCTGGCAGTTGTGGGCATCCAGGCCTCAGTCCTTAAAGAATCCTTAAGGTTGGCGGAGGGAGTTGTGAGGGAGAGATGGTGGCAATTCTTGTTCTTGGAATTCGGGTAGGTTTCCTCAGCTTGCCTGCAGCAAGATGTTGCATGTTCGGTTGCCCCTGCTCAATCCAATTCCTCGCAACAAGCTGCATCCATTTCTTTCAGCCCCACCCCCCCCGCCCCAGGCGGCCATGAAAGATTCCTCCTACGTCTACGAGTACGTGAAGGAGGTGATGGAAAGGTCCAAGCCGATGTTCGAGAAGTTCTTGGAGAAGCGGGGCATCGGCTATTGGCCCACCGTGGCCAACTTCATCTTCTGCTACTTCCCAGATCCCCCGCGCCTGGAGGAAGGGCTGCAAGTTGCAACCACCCGGGCCCCGTTTTTACATATATATATATTATTTGGCTATTTTTCTTCTTTTTTGGGTGGTGGGGGACCCCAAAAGATAGGCCTTGGAACAACCAACCCTGGAGGCCGCGCTGCGCGAGAGGGGCATCCTGGTCAGGCCCAAGAAGGATGCCAACGACGTGGTGGGGCTCCGAGTGAGCTTCGGCACGGAGGAGCAGATGAAAAGGGTCATCTCGGCTCTGGAGGAGCTTCTTTGACAAGATGTCACCGGCTGGGATGGATTCAAGTTGATTCAAGCAAGTAATTGGTCGAAAAGAGCAGTTCAGGGCAAACAGAACACGTATCAAGCAACATATTGGGATCTGCGGGATAGCACTAGGCAGGGAGAGAGAGAGAGAGAGAGAGAGAGAGAGAGTGAAGCAAACCACAAACAAACACAGACAAGCCGCATTTCGCCTTTTGTCCTCCGCCCGCCCTGTGACCTCAGCGGCCTGGGCCAAAGGCTGAGAAAGCCGCCTGGGGTGGAGCCCCCTGGCGCGCCCTGGCGGGTGCTGCGCCGCAGCCCTGAGAGATCCGAACTTTTGTGTCAAAGGCTGATTGTACGGATCCATATTCGTGAGCCCTGCTTTTTTGGTGTTTGGTGCGGGGAGGGGAGTGCCATTGGCGGCGATTTGCCTTAATTCTGTATGGCAGAACCGATGGCTTGAACCGAACCCATTCTCCAATGTCCTAGGCCACCGAGTTGCTCTGGGAAGCCCCGGCCGGGAAAAGAAAAAAAACAAACAAACAAGGGGCCCAAGCGTGGGTTCATGCATTCAGCCGTTTCGGTCTTTGGACGGGCCAAGAGCTGGGCCCAAGAGAGCCGCGGCCGGCCATCGCTTGGGTTCTCGCGCTGTGCCCAAGGAAAAAGCGTGGCGGAAAAAGCGTTGCGTTCGCATGGGTGTCCCAAATGTGGTAAGAGCGCCGCCTAGAGCTTTTCAGCTTAGCCCTTACATGGTCGGAGAGCATACATCTCCCATGTACGCCAGGGGCATGTCTTTTTTTTTGGTTGGAACATCAATCTCTGGTTTTTCAAGGGTAAACAACAACACATTAAAAAAGCTTTTGGCTCCGCCCCGCGCGCCTGCGCGCACGCGCGTGCGCCTGGGCCCCAGGAGCGCGAGGTGGAGCTGGCGGAGACTCTGCGGAAGGCGCGGCTGACCCAGGGGAACCTCCGAGGCGAACCGCCGGCCCGGGAGCTCAGCGGCGCGCATGGGATGGGATGGGATGGGATGGGATGGGATGGGATGGGATGGGGGGGAAGTTGGCCATGTGTGCCACGGTCGAAACATGTCCTCGACTTGCGGGGGGGGGGCTGCTGGGGGTGCCTCCATTTCAGGGAATCTTGGCATTGAGCTTCAGAAGGGGTCTCGTCTACTGACCAGTTCATCCTGTTTTACCAGCCATTTGACTGAACACATCTGTCAGGCAAGGAACCATCCTTGCCGGAGAGTTTGCTAGGCGGCCAGGTTTTCTGAGGTTTCAGTGGGAGCCCCTGCGCCAAAAGTTGGTTCCAAGACTGGGGCGGCCTGGCTACTTGTGACGGTCGCTGGCCGAGGCAACGAACCGAATACTTTGGCAGAGGCAAGTGACCTACGCCAACAACGCCGCGCGCTGGAAATTCAGTGGGCAATGCTCGTTTAAGGAAGCCAGGCTGCTGCTGTAGGGGCGGGCCAGGAGATGCCCCGGCAGAAAACAATGATCAGGCTGACAGAGCTGCACTTTCAACATTTGACTGGCTCCCAGATGGCTTTTTGGTGCTCATTCGGGAGGAAGTTGTAGGCTGGCCAAGGGGAATTCCAGGGGAAACACTGGCGGCTGACGTTGGCATGTACTAAGGCTGTTTACAGAGCCGAGCAGGCTTACACCGAAGTTCGCCGGGAACTTGAGCGGAGGCGCGCGCCAAACCCGGGCCACGGAGCGCTGTGGATGTGGCTTACATCCCACGTTGGCAATGGTCGTCATCGGTCCTCATCAATTATTGCGATCCACCGCAGGTACGGTCAGACCCGAGGCATTTGTCATGCACCCCTGTCTTGATGTTCTCCCTGTGTACTGTAGCTTTCCAGGTTGCTCCCCAGCAGGTTAACGTGGAACCTGAATAGCAATCCTTTTTAGAGGCATCCCTGTTTTAATGGCCTCTTTTGGGTTCCGTGGTGATTCGTATGGGGGTATGCATGTCTTCGCAGATTGGCCGTGACAGGCGCTTCAAGAAGTGACCGATGGGCGCCTGCTCGCCCTGATGCTGTCAAGGCCGGTTTTTTCTTGGGAAGGCCTTCCGTAGCTGTGATGGTAACCCATCAGGCTCGTGCTGTAGGACGGGGTTATGATTTCTTCTCTGCTTGGTGCCCCCTGTTTAGAGAGCAGGGCTGGCCCCAGGGTTGTTCATCAGCTCAAGCGCTCAGCTGAGCTTGATGTAGGAGCCTTCACCTGATGCCGGTGATCAGCAGCTGACTTCGTGAGGTGTGCAGGCAGTGTTGCAAAGGGCAGTTTCACACAGATTCCGGTGTATCCAGATTGAATGCGCGTAGAAAAGGAGCGGCAACTGCAATTTATTGCTGCAGCGAGTGCAGCTGCACTCGGCCAGCCAAGCTGCCTGGAGAGCTGGCCATTCGTCGCGCTGGGTGTTGCCACTATCCATGCTCACCCGCACCCGCGGCTAGTGGCCGCTTGCTTGTTGCTTGCATTCTGCTTCAGCTGGGTCTCCAGGTTGCTAGGGTTCCGGGATTTCTTCTGCAGGTCAAAGCGCCGGAGCACAAAATCGCTCAACACCCGGCCCTGGTGGTTGCTTGAGATCCGCTTTGGATAAGGCAGAGCCCAGCGCCGGAGCCTTCAAGGACTCTTCGCAAGGGCCGTGCCCCAAGATGAAATCGATGCGATCAGTTGCGTTCAGACGCGTTTCCGGCTATGTTTTTCTTGGCTCCGAAGGCGCAAAGCCTTGTGGCGAGGCGGTCGAAGGGGAGGATCAACGGAGAGTCTAGCCGTCCAGCCATCCGAGGGGTTGTCAAAATTAGGCGCCGCTTTCAGCCTCCCCCAACAGGCGCCGCAAGGTTGCGCCAGGGTCCAAAACCAGCCATATGTTTGACGACCCCTTCAGCCATTTTGCCAAGCGACCATCCGGCCAAGAGGCCACCCGGGTCTCAACCAAGGCCAGTCCCAGCTCTCGCCAAAACAGACTAGCCCACCAGAGGCCGAGCGGTGGGAGGGTTTGGTGCGTGCAGATTATCATAAACCCAAGCTCCTTTTGGGGGACCCCCTTTTTGGAAAGGGGGCTCCTTGTTGAATTGATTTGCTTCGAAAGAGGAGGAATTAGATGGCCCCCACGAACATGTGGTTGACTGGATGCTTGTGGGGTGGACTTTTGCCGTCCTTTGCTTGGCTGCTTGTGCTTGGAGTGAGGCTGAGGGCCGTGTTTGGCTTGTGTGGCTGGCGATGGTGTCATATGGTGCCCTTGAGTCACCAAGGATCCCTTCCGGTCCGGCACGAAGCGTCGCGCACCAAGGGAGTGCAAAGCATGTCCTGGGCGGGGCCAAACAGGAGGTGTGGTAGAACCGCTCCCCCTGGCACATGTTTTATGGAGATGCTCCAAATCCCAAACCTCGTGCAGGCCTCTACCAGCCCCTGTATTTTTGGGCATCATGCATGGTATCTTTAGTTTTACACCTCACATTGATTCCTCAGAAGCAGAGCCCTTGCCTATGCTGCGTTTGGCTGCTTGTTTACACGGCTTGGGTAAGCCGCAATGGATGCAGGCTCCCGCTCAGTGGGTGACGCCACTCTTCGACCTCGGCAAGAGGGCGAGCTGTCGCCGCCGCGCCCTGAGTGCTCGCTCCCTGCGGGCGTGCGTGCGGTGCGCGTGAGGAGCATGTGCTTTTGAGACGGTTATACAGGGAAGAATGGGAAAAATATGTCCGGACATGGGATAATTTTTCATCATTTTCGCCCGATCTTCCCCAGCTCCGCTGACTTGAACCCGAGGTTGTCCAGCGTGCACCGGGCACGGGCTTGTTCTGTGAAGGGGCACCACTACCGGCCCGGTGCCCAGTGCTTCCTTGCAAGCGGCGCGCGCGATGCTTCCGGGTGGGGCCAGGAACTGGACCTTGACCAGCACCGGGCTGTGGCGCGACCTGCCGCTCTACACGCCCTGGGGCCTGCTTGAGAGCGTGCCTGGGGCCTAGAAAGCACACGGCCAAAGCTGGGCATCGAAAAGTCTCAGGCAACCTGAGAAAGAACTTCTCCAGGGCGACCAGGACATGCAACAGAAATCCAAGCTGTCCGGGATGAGTTTTTCACTGAATGCAGTACAGCGAAATAGGAGCATGGATAGATAAACAACTGTCTGGCACCAGCATTCAATAAAATCAACCAAGAAATGAACACACATATAAACATATATATATATATATGTGTGTGTGTGTATTGTATTTGTACACACACGGCCTTCGCCCACGTTGATCGAATTGTAGAGCGGGACATGAACATTGCTACATTTCCAGGCATCAGCCAAGTGTCAACTGCGCAGTCGGAGTCGCGGCCTCAGACTGTCCAGGCGAACCCTTGAGCTTCGGGTGTGGTTTGCAGGGTCTCGAAAGCTCGCTTTCTTCTAGGCTTTGCTTGGGGTTGGCATTGGGAGGCAGAGGGGGTGTAAGACTAGGGAAACCGGGGGTGGGGTGGTATGTGGATGACCTTCTGCCACCGGGCGTTACTCGAACGCATGCTTTTCAAGTGCTCACAAGCGGTGATGGTGCCAGCTTGCCTGACAAATCCACATTTGGCCTTCAATCGCACCGCATGTTTGGCACCATACTGCTGGGGGTCGGTTCATATGCCTCATCGTTTTTCCACCTCTGCCCAGAAGTGTTCCAACGTTTGCGCTGCCTTCAGCCACCATGAACATTGTTTGCAACCAACTCAAAGGTAATCTTGGCATGCAGAGCCATCCGGGGCACAGAACTACTTCAGAAACAGTCCACGTTTTGTTCAACATTCCCCAAAGGGGAAGAACCAAAAGAGCCTAAATGATTAGAATGGGGTTGTTTCTCAAGTGTCCGTGGTTTCAGCAGTTGTGAGGCTCTCCTCCATGTTGCGCTGAAGCGGAGTTTTGAAACAGCGGCGTGAGTGTTTGGCGCCGCGGTTTTGCAGTGGGGCTCGGTTTCATTTGCTTTCGCTTTATGACTCAGTGGGTTAATGAAGGGCCCCTCCCAGCAGAGCATGGATGCTGTATTAACACGTGCCACTCAGAATGCCCCGGTCCTTCTTCCTAATGCCGGTGAGTTCACGGGGTGGATGCATTGGGGGCGGTAGCACTGTGGTGACAGTTTCTGTGGAAGATTGGCAATGTGCCGTCAACGCTGGCTGTGGATCTTCTGAGGTATCCAGATCTCAAGCAAGAGCCCAAGTGCGGACAGCATCCCAAGAGGAGTCTGGTCACCACCACCCCACGACTTTTGGTTACGCGGAAATAGGCTGCTCAACCTCATGATTCATTGCTGGCCCGCTTTGCCAAAGCAATCGGTTCGGCACGAGGCTGAGACGCCCAGAGGGCCCGCTAGAGAGCGGGGCACCTCAAGCTTGGGGGGCAGTGGTTGGAGGTCCAACTCTTCAGATGCAACTTGCGTTGGTCTAAAAGGTAAGCCCAGCTCAAAGCTAAGGTGAAACAAAACCACACGCAAACGGTGCTGGTTTCCCATAGGAAGCCTTTCTGCTCTGGCTCTTGTTCACGGAGTTCGGTGGTGCCCATCGGGCAGCGGATCAACTTTCAGTTGCATTTTTTTCGTATCCAGTCGGTCGATCCGGAGACTTTGGGCGGTTTGACCAAGGCTGGAGGCCCCGTACAGCTATGTGGAGCCTACGGAGCAGCTGTCCCCGCGAACACCCAGGCGCGATCCAGAGAAGCGCGTTCTGAGGTTGACCTATGGGCTGTTTCCGGAAAGGGGGGCTGCCTTCTTGCGTGGTTTGCTGCAGAGGAACCAAAATTAACCAAAAGGAAACTACGCGTTTCAAGGATGTTTATTCGCTTGTTAAGCCAGTTTGAGCATCCCTTGCTTGACAGAGATTAGGTGAGTTTCCGCCGCTTGCCGTGATGCTTAGGGACAAGAATCAGATCGCAGGCCGAACTCGGCACGCGACCACTACCAAAAGGCCATGTGCGGGAAGCCTCAGCCCACCATTAGAGAGCAACTCTCTGTGGGTATGCATCAAGTCGCCCCATCCGCCGGAAGACAAGGGGCACTAATTTGAACCAGTGGTACCCGAGTTGGGTGATATCACAGCGTGTAGGCCACATCTAACCTACATGTAGGCCGTTGTTAGATCGCAACTGGCCTTGTCAAATCTTGGTCGGCTTTCTTTCATGTTGGCTCGTGCAGACTTAAATGCCCCAGAGGGCTGAGCATGGCTTCGCCTTCTGGTCGTTACTTGTTGCACCTGGCTGCCGTGAACTCACAGAAAAGCGGCACAAAAACATGCAGTGCGTTTGGGTACAATCAACTGGTCGGATGTATGGATTTGTGGATCAGTACTGGGACGGCGAACGCCTCGCCACAACTCCAGATATGCAAAATTCGGATTCATCAGTTTACGAGACCGTGGACGAGACAACCAATATTGAGTATCTTCAGGATGAGCTGATTGCCAAAATCATGGAGGAGTTCGAGGGGGTCACAAGACCAAGGCCCTTCTGGCATTTTGGAGTATGGAGCAGAGAGCGAGGACGGCGTGGGACTACGAGCAAGAATGCGCCATCAAGAAGGATGGATCAGTCCAGGCTGTGAATATTCGCCTGAGGCTTGGAGGCAAGTGGTGTTTCTCATCGACTCAAGGGTCAAGTGTGTGTGGCGCAGTCAAAGCAATTGGAACGTTTAACTCCATCCGGCACCCAGCCCTCATCTTGAATTGATCTGCCCGCCGCTGTGCGAGGTGGAATTTTGGTCACAGGACATCGGTGCATTGGTTTCAACGCAGAATCAGCTTTCCTGTTTTTAACCGGTGAAGGAAGCAGGGCTCAGAGTGCATCGTCTCGTGCCCGGCACGTTGGCCGATGGCTGGAGCGAATGTGTCGAAGCTTCCATGGCCTGGGGGTGGTGTGTGTGAAGCGGACGGATTAGGAGAACTTCCGGCTGATCCCGATGCTGATGGAACTAAGTGCTGTTGCTACCAGATTTACGGCTTGCCCAGAGCTTAGGAGCAATAGGGGATGGACGGAGGCTCCGAGAAGAATGGCGATCGGCCCTCCTGGGTCTGCTGGTTCGAAATGGCGCTGAAACGTGGAGCTGGCGGTGACGAGGGAGCAGCATGTGATCGCGCACTTGAGTGGGCAAGCGGGGGATGGCCTTGTGGCATGGGACGATTTGAGGAGAGAAGATCTGTGGGCTCCCGGAAAGCAGAGGTGGCTTTCAGAGAAAGATGGGCTATGACTTTGAGATCCGTGGAGTTCTTGCAGTCTTGCGCGGGTAACAATTGAACTGAGCAAGTCAGGTTCAAGCACGAGGTGAAGCACGCCCAGCAACGTCGAGTGAAAGTGGAAAGTTGTAGGGGCTCCTCATATCTTCTTCATTCTTCCTCCACCTTTTGTGGAATTCAAGTGCAGAGGAGCATGCCCGAGTTTGACCCAATCAGCCGGTACATTTGTCTCTGCCTGGCACCTCCTAAAAAAAATTGCCGAGGCGCTCGCAACCCGCTGAGCGATGGGGCAGATCCTCAAGGCGAGGCTGCGAGGCCAGGGCCGAGGGCGATGGACTTTTGGGACGGGTCTGCGTTGACAGGGTTCCTTCCATGTCCCCTGGAAACGCTCATCACGCATCACACCAACAAAAAGTATCAATTTTTGACATGACCCAAGTTTCTATTTGAATCGCACCAGGGCCGGGGAAATTTCATTTTTAACCTGTCAGGACGCCTCGCCCGCGCCCGAGCCTCAGTCGGTGAGTCAGGCACCTGCCCCGATTCTCGCGAAGCCTTGCCCGCCTGCCGGCAGGCGGTGCCAGTAGCCCCTCGCAAGGCTCCAACGTCCGCAGCTCAAGGGACCCGTGCTTATCATATGTCCCTTGGAACATCAGCCCACCAAAAGGGGACTAGCCAGAAGCGAAGAACCCCAAGTCTGTCATGGAACCCTATCCAGGTTCTTGGCTTTCCAACCGGCTTTCCCCTCAAACAGTCACAGGTCTTGGAAAGAACAGTCACCCGAGCCGAGGTCCGAGGGGTCCTTTTGGAAGAATCACGTGACATGATTAGAACCAACCTGAAGCCAGAGGAACCCATCCAATCCGCCCGGAGGCAGGCACCGCAAGAGCGCGCACCATCAGTGGCCGGAGGCAGGGCCCGTGCCAAGTTGGTTTGCGGGCTACGTCCAAGTTGCCGACCCTAGAGTTTTGCTCACCCTTGGAGTTCCCTACAGTTCTGCTCACCAAAAGGGGGCACACACACAGGTGGATTCAAAGGGGGGGTACCTAGTGACCGGCGAGTGGGCTTTTGGCTCTGTTGGATCTGCGCGCAATCCCTGATACCAACCCTTCCGCATTTCAAGGGGGAGATGACGTAAAGCCACGATTTGCTTGATCATTTGTGCTTGGCGTGCTGCGAAGCACACCGCCGAAAGCTGACATGCACCAAATGCCCCTAACCGTGGAGCAGTACCAGCTCGGAGTATCCTCGTGCTTTGAGCGCACCCCCGCACTTGGGCTAAGATGAGAATGGCTGAGTTAGGATTCATGTTAGCGTTCACATGGGTATTCGTTGGCAGGTTGTAATGAGAAATGAATGAAACCATGGGGTCATAGATGGACGTATGCGTTCAGCTGATGGTTGTCCAGGGGCACCTAGTAGGCCCGTTGAACAGGGTGCTTGTGCGCCTTCTCCTCTCTCCCCGGACCAACATCAGACTTTGACTCTTACAGGGTCGCTTAAAGGATGCATTTGGGCCAAATTGGAAACCACCTCCGCCAGCTGTTTCAACGTGTTTCTACATGCAGGTGATGTCAGGCTTTGTCCGAAGAACTTCGAATCAGTCACTCCAAGCTCTTCAAGACAAAGTGGGAAAGGTCGGTGTATCCTTCAAGCTGCCTTGTTGGGCCCGGTCTTCGGCCTAGCCCTTGGCTCGATCGGCCGCGCGCCGCGCGCCGCGCGCCGCGCGGGCCGGGAGTTGCAGCTCGGATGCACAGAATCCACTTGGGATCGGTTGGGATGGATGAACGCTCAGGAATGCTGGGATGAACCACCCACCAACTGCCACAGGACTTGGTCCATCCACAGTAGTACAGGGTTTACGGGAAGCTTCTCGCGAGGCGGCCTGTGCCATTGACGTTTTTGTTGGCATCCCACTTTGTCCCGCACAAATCCCTTCCCTTTTTTAAAACGAGCTGGAATCAAAACCAGATAGATGCAGATTCGTGGGGAACAGTCCCAACCCTACACAGGTGCGATAAGATGCGCTTTGGATTTATCAGGTGGCTTGGCTATGCTTGGCTAAGCTCCTTCAATGCCGGGTTTTGGTTGCCACTCACACAGGCGACCAGCGAGTGACCAGACGGCGCGGCGGGTTTGCATTCTGTGTTGAGTGGCTGTGCTCAGGCGGCTTTGCATGGGATCCTCGCTGGGCTGCTGTTCAGATGAGACAGCGTCCACCCGAGAAGAGGCGGGTGTTCCTGACTTGCACATACTTGGTTGGCCAACGAACCCTTGCGCAATTTTCAATGTTTATCAACCTCAGTTCCCATCTTTTTCACAACTTGTCATTCTCAGAGAAGTGTCGGGAAAAGCAGAGCTTTCTGAACAGAAAGGAAGCAATGAGCAATATAAGATAGCTCCAGCCGCGCCGAATCCCCATGGCCCATGGCCCATGGCAGTGATTAGCAACCCGATGGACTGGTTTGAATGCGTGCTTGCCAGGAGCTAGTCTCTCCGAAGGGGCCACCCAGGTTGCAGACCAAGTCACTCTTGTCACGTCGCATGGGAGTTTGGCAGTTCTCAGGTCGTTTAAACCGCCCGGCTTCGGCGACTTAAGCAGTGGCTTGGCATTCCCGGCTGGCAACGATGCGGCTGGTTGCGTGCGCCATCCCTCAGGTGCTGTGGCGAATGCTGTTGCAGGAGCTGTGCAAACAGCCACCGAGCACCTCACAAAATCCCACAGGAGACGCCTTTTTGTTTGACCTCTTACTTGGGCATATCTTCCTTTGTCGCCAGGAGCACCGCATCCGCGCTGGAAGATGTGGAAGATGTGGCTTAGTTCTCGGGAGGCGTTTGGAGCCAGAGTCCGAGAAGGGGTTCCAAGCACGCGGCAGGTGCCTCGATTGGTATCGTGCTGCGCCTGCTGAGTCGTGCTTCTGCGGATGACCGGCCTTGCTTGTACATGAATTGATAGGGTGCACAAGTGTGCATGTCAGGGTGCTGCCAGAGGCAGGCTCAATTCGCACTTTGCACCAGCTTGGCCAGTTGGCTCGCCGTCGGGGTTTGCTGCGCTGTTTTCAGCGGAGAGGTCAAAGACTCACGGGCGGCAAATGCAAGGAAAACAGAAATGCGCACCTTTGCTGCCCAGTTCCTGCAATCTCGACCCCAGATTCCCGTATATGGGAGTGTCGCCCCACGAACGTTTTGGATTCCCTCTAGAATGGAATGCCTACCTATTACTCAACCCGGGGTTTATTGATCCTGGGTTGCGCGGCAAGCTGCGCGCAGGTCGGAGAACCACCCCTGGCACAAGGAGGCCCTTGGCCACACAAAATTGGCAGAGCTGTCCTTGAAGGGAAGCCACCAATTTCGCCGCCAAACGCACTGGGCTACGAGTTGTAGCTGTTGGGACATCCTTGAAAGTGATTTGACAATCAACGATGTGCACCAAGGAGCCCCTACTCAGAAAACACCATGCACACACACACACACTACAAAAAGGGAAACCTCAAGAACAAAGATGAAAGATGCGTAGCATAGTGTTGTTTTCGTGGTTCACACCCTTGGACCCCGACCCCAAAGGCACTTAGCCCACTTTGTTTGGTTTCCAGAGAGGTCGGCACACCCCCCACCTACGAGGCTTGCAACCCCATGGTTTTTTTTGGTCGCCGGGCCCCCGAAAAGGGGCTTTCGGTTTTCCCCTTCTCCTTTTTTCATTTCAAGGAGTGGTTGACACATGGTAAGCAATGACACACGTGGTGCCCTCGAAAAAAAAAAAAAAAGCGAGCCGCCCATGTGGCCCAGGAGGCGGCTGTCCTGCAGACCCCCCGGTCCCCAGCGGACAGCTTGAAGGAGGGCAACATGCCGGCAGGCCATGGGTCCCGGGGGGGGGGGGGGATCCGGGCACTTCTGGGTGACGAGCGAAAAAAGGCGTCGCCGTTTTTCGTGGGGAAATTGGGGGGGTCGACGTTTCCGCCAGGGGCACCAGGCAGGAGTGCCCAACTGGGTCGCAAATGGATGATGCGACGTTTTCTTGGGCTCGAGTTCGTGGGCACGACTTGTAGCGCCACGGATTCCTTAATTTGGATGGGTGAGGTATAGACGTCAGGGCAGGTCGGCCCCTTCCAGAATGGGTCAGACCCTTCCTACACATGATGGCATGAGCTTTTGGGGTTCCATGTTAACCTGGAGCACTCCATGCAGCATGAGGGGCAGATGAGGGGTTTGCCGTTGCATGCGCGCTCAGCAAGAGAAGTGCTGCGGCATTTTCCTTTAGGCTAAGGGCGGAGGTGAAGAAAAGGGTGCAAGGTGCAGCTGCAGAAAGGTAGGTAGGTACCAATCGGTGGTGAGGTATAGAAAGAACAACGCGAACCATTCCACTTGCAAAGCGTGAGCTGCAGTTCTCGTGTACCGACTCGCCAGGCATGCACGCCAGATACGGCGCAGTTGCCAACACCTCAGAGGCCCCCAGGTTTGCGGCGACCAAATTTCAGACAGCTGGATGCACCTGCCAAGAGAGTTCCCACGTTTCAGGGCTCGATGCTTGTTTCGGGAAGATCCCCAACAGCGTGCCTCTGTTTAAGTCGGCTCTGCTCTTGAGGGTGATGTGGAGGCGCCCTGCCAACAGCCAAACCATCCTCTACTGTGGATGGACGAAATTCGGATTTCGTCCATCCACAGTAGGATAATTGGCCAGCTGTTCCCACAGAGCGCGCGAGAAGCAACATGCGGGGTTCCAACGCATCCCAGTCCACGTTTCAAAGACCCCGCCCCCGCCCCTCCTAGCCACTTCTGGAGGATTGACGGAATTTCGGACCAACCACTACTAACAGGTGGTCAAAAGATGTGGTGACTGGTTTGTGGGGCGGGACGTTAGATGGATGTGGCTTAGCGTGGCTCAGGCTGCGGCACTGGAGCACACAGCCTTGCAGGCCCCAGAGGGGAAGGGGTTTGCCTCGGCTATGGTATGAGTGTAATCGTCGCAAGTGGGACGGTATTTATTTTTCTTCCATTTTTCCCGGAAGCGTTAGCGAAGGGTTCTTTGGAAAAAAACGGTTGCTACGCAGCCCAGTTTACCCAGCCCAAGCGCGCAGCTTACCTTAGGCAACGCTCTTAGATGTGCCTTGGAGGGGGCGGGAGGGGATGTCACTTCTCGTTGGATTTTTGTTGGTCGCGGCTGACGTTTGTTTGCAAGCGAGCGGCGGACGGAGGACGCTGGGGGGGGGTTTCACTGGGGGAGGAACGGGGCCCTCTTCGGAGGGTAGCCTCCTTCTAGTGCCCCCTTCAATGGGGGCGTTGGCCTGGCAAGCCAGCGTCCCTTTCATTTTTTTGTGCTACCACACGAGGAACAGAGTTTCGATCTTCTACCTCGGTGCCGTGCCGGCCAATTGAGCGGCGGTTTTTTTACCCGCAAGCTAATTTAGTGGGGAGAGGGACATTATTATTGAAAATGTGCGCCGCGCCACACGCGCGGAAGCATGCGGAAGGCTCGCGGAAGAGATTTGTTCGCGGAAGGTTTGCGGAAGCTTGGTGGCTGATATACAACTAAATGTTTCAGTGCGTGCATGGAAAAGCTCGGAGAAACAATTCCAGTAGAAGAAAAGGTGTTGCTGCGTACAAGAAACGTAACGCTTACTCGAAGAGCAGATGCCAACAGCAGCCAAGAAGGCCAAAACAGCCGGCGTACTTCGCGGAAGGTTTGCGGAAGCTTCGCGGAAGCTCCGCGGAAGGGTGGCCCCGTGTTTGCAGGCAAGCGGCCAAGTAGCATGGGTAGCCCAATGGAGCCCAAGCCTACACAAGCTGCGGCGGAACACTACCTCACTTAAAATGACTTTCCTTTCTGCGCCAATGCTCGCGGACGCAAAACTTGTAAACCATGCCCCGCGGAAGGTTTGCGGAAGCAAACAATGAAACACATGTGCCGTGGAAGTTCGCGGAAGGGACCTCTTGGCCCGCGGCAAGGATGCGGAAGGGTCCGCGGAAGCTTGAATAATGTCCAGGCAAGTTTGTAGGGAATTAAAACCAACGCTCAATTGTGAATCGCGGACAGGCGATGAACAAGCAGCGGTCATGGAGGAATCGGTGCACCAACCTTACTTGAGGATGTTGTAACGTCCATCTAATGTTTCCGCTCAAGGGACATTGTAGTGAAGGGAAAAACCAATGGAGCTTTGCCGGATTGGAGGCTCACCATGTCAGTCTTTGTGCCATTTCCGAGCGCAGGTGGCAGGGGGAGGGAGTCTTTCGGGTGAATGAAACGAAGAGACTTGCGTCTACTTGGGAATTGGCGTGGCGATGACCTGGTTCGTGCTGTTCAAGGGGTTGCGTTTCTGCTTTTCTGGCCTGGCCACAGCTTCGAAACGAGCTGGGGGGTTCTGTGATTTTGGCGGAAGACGCCTGCTGAGGATAAAGTTGGGATTTTGTGGGGGGACTCTCTCGGTTCGTTCCTGTTATGCTCCGACGTTTCGGAGTTCTGAGCAAGAAAAGGAGACTTTTTATGAAAAGTCTCGGCAATATGGTTGACAATCAGGAGGAGCTTTTGGTGTTCGGCGGCTTTAATGCCAGAGTAGGGTGTGTGACGCTTCTGTCACTGGACACAATATGGAACCTGGGCGGGAGGTCGTGGGAACGCAATGAACAAGACGAGCGACTAATTGAGTTCTGCCAACGACGTCTGCCAACAACGTTCCCCAAAACCAAGCGATGGTTTCAGATCCATGTCCTTTGCAAGGGCAGATCGGCTGGGCTAGATGAGGACGTTGGGGCCATGCCATGCCGGGATTCGCGCACCAAACTGACCACCGATGCCTACGAGAAGGCAGCGTTAGGCAGAGAGTGCGGCAGGGGCCCGGCCGCAGATCCGGGTGCCGCGGCTGTGTGTGCAAAAGCTGCAGGATCCAGAGGTGGCCAACAGACAGAATGAGGAACTTCATTCCCTGGAACCGAGAAATTGTTCAACGATGGATGCGAACTATTTGGGTATGCGCAGCGTCGCATTGCGGAGGGCACAATTGGTGAGGGCAGCGCGTTGTGGGAGGCATTGTGGAAGACGGCCAACAGGGAACGTCTTGCGGCTTTGAGTGCTGAGAAGCGAAATGTGGCGGCTGCGCGCTCAGAGGGGGCGCGGTCCAGGTGTTTCTCGCTGTGTTAGACTGGGAGGGTTTCGGGGGACGGGGCAAGAGCGCACGGACCATGCAGCATCACGTTCCACGGAGAGGGTTGTTGTAGGCTTGGGTTGCGTCTTGGAAGCAGGAGCTTGCTTAAGTGTTTGTCTGTCACGCGCATGTGTAGGTTCAGGAAGTCTCAGTTGTCAAGTTTTCTTGCCATGTGCCTGGACACATGGCATGACGCAGTGTGCGTAAATGGTTTCACACTAAGTGCGGCGCTCGTCAAACTTATACCGGACATGGCTTTGCCGTCGGCGTAGCGGAACACAGCCCCTTTTCCTCATCAATTGCACCACAGTGAAGCCAACCTTGTGCAACGCACGAGGTTGCCTTGTACTTTGACAGCACTTGCCACGCATTGCGGTTCTCTGCCGCAAATCTTTTCATCGACCTTTCTTTACAGAATGAAGCTATCGTTGTGCGCTGCATGGATTGCGTTGTGCTCTGCCAGGCTTGCCGCGTGTTGCCGCGTGATTGAAACACGCATCCTTGCAGCAGATCTTTTCACGCAAGGATTGCGCAAGTGAAGCCACGGTTGTGACTGGTAGAGGCGGGCCAAGCTGCTGAGCTTTGCTCTTCATCTTTTTTGCCCTGGGCAGCCTGCGGCGGAGGCGTGCGCACGCTCCTGATCTTCTACTAGAACTTCTGATGCGTGTATGTCGTTTGCTGGCAGGTGCGGCTCCATGTTGACTGTGCGCATCCGGCGTTTGAAAAGCCACAGTTTGTCTCTCGCGCGCTGCTATGAAGAGTCGCCGCTTGCTGACTGACACTTCACGCAACATGTCTTGCATCACCTTTCTCATGCACGCTTTCGGGGATATCGGGCCTAATAGCCTGGGTCATGGCCTGTTCGTCTTCCATGTCCAAGGGTTGAGTTGGACCAACGAAGGCTGCCGGCTGCGACATTCCCATGGAAGCTCTTCCTGTCCAGGCCCCGGTCTTCAGATTCCGATCCTAAGCCCCAGCCAAAAAATCCTTTAAGCAGGTCATGGGCCTGCGGGGTCCTTCTTTACCGCAAATCTAAAGAAGCACGCCCAGAAAGGGCACCAGCTCTACATACGCAATCCACCCGAGGTTGCGACCCGATGGTCTGACGATGTGCTCCATGGAATCGAAGGGCCGGGGCACCTTGTGATCGGCTTGGGGGGGGGGTTGGGAATGTGTGAAGACGTGGGACTCGTGTCGCGGACCTCCCAAACAGTTTCAGTTTGTCACCTCCCGGGCCCGTGAACAGGTGGCTGGCTTCCCTTCCGTCCTTCCTTCCATTTGTCCTTCCGTCCGTCTGAGCCAACTCCGCACAAGAACGCGCGCGCACAAGGCCAACCAGAGCTCCACAAAATTGTGAGCTTAAAGCCAGCCACAAAGCAAAAGGCACAAGGAAATTTGCTTGTTTAGTGCAGCGGCCCCAATGCGTTGCCTTCGCAGGAGCCGGGTGACGCCGCGCAAGGTTTGCCCCTCAAGGCGGCCACCATGAGCGGCACTCAGATGGCAAAGTCAAGATGATGTGCCAACTGCAAATCGGGGAGCTCCTAGTAAACACTATTCATTAGTGAGCTCGTTTTTACCCCCCAGGTGACCTTGTTATCCGTTTCAAGGGTGGTTTCAAACATCATGTTTTTTCTTCACTGAAGAGGGTCGCCGCAGAAGGCAGGCGTGCGAGGTAGGACCCGCTGAGACCCTGGACAGGTTCTTGGACCCCTCCAAGAGCCCTTCCTGGAAAGTTTCTTCTAACCTGGCGGGGGGAGGGGGCGGGTGTCTTGTTTTTTTGGAGCCAGGTGTACTTCTCATTACGGGAAGCATCTGTTGACACACCAACGCACGCAAACATTCACTGCCATTTCAGGTCATTCATTGATTTGCGCTTTGGACGTCACAAAGTCAATGAGCGTACAAATTTTAAAGAAAGAATCCATTGCACTTTCCCTACCCCTTCCTGGGTATGCCCAGCTTTTGTGACAGAGGGGTATGGGGAGTTAAAGTGTGTGTGTGTGTGTGTGCCCAGGTGAACGGCAGGATGTTCGGCAAAGCCGAGAGCAATCCAGAGGCTGGGGTTGGCTCTTTCTCCTGTTCTCAGCGTTCCAAAAACTGCGGCGCGTGCCGCATGTGCTTTTGACACTTGCAGAACTTGTGTTTTTTTCAACATAGGGACCCCCCAAAATGGCTGTCTTTCCTTTTGGATTCCCATTTAGCCAGCCAGCCCTCCAGTTGGAGGCCATTTCTGCTTGCCATGGGCCGCGCCAGGGTCAGCCGGGGGTTCCGCGCGTGGAAGGCCGCCGCCGCCTTACCAGATGTTGCCCAAGGTCAGTTTCTCTTGTAGGCGTGGGGTTTCAAGAGGCTAGGGAACCCTGCAAGCCCGGGGGGTGGGGAAACCAAGCACCCCTTGAACCCAACCATCCCCTTGGTTTGGTTTTGGGGAAACCAACCGCCGCTTGGTTTAGTTTGCGCCTTTGGGGTGAAATTGAAGGGGACTCGGCGTCGGTTCCCAGGAAGTCGAAGGCCAAGCCTTCGTCTGCGATGCCTGGCCAGGGCCCTGGATGCCTGCTCCCACGTTAGCGCAGGGGGTGGGGGGTGGGATTCTGCACCCTGAAAGCAAGTACCCAGACACACCTCTTCCTTTGCATCTGTCTGTCTTTTTTTCTTGCTTGGGGAGCGAGTCTGCAAGATGGCATCTCTCAGAGTGTCCATGCGGGGAGGATCGAGGGAACGCTCAGGATATGGCCGCACGGTGGAGCTGGCGGGTCTTAGGCAGGGATCGCAGTAACACCGCTTTTTGATTGCCCGGGATGCGTCAGGCGCGCGCAAGCGGCCAGCTCTACCTTCAGTGGCCGGTACGTAGAGGCTGCGGGTGGGATGCAGCCATCCGAAGCTTGATTCGCTTGGGCACCGCTGTCATCTACGCCCGTAGGCGTCTATGCCCAAAAGGCGCAATCGGGATAAAACATGGCCGCAAAGTTCTGAGGGCCATGACGGAAGCATGCCAATGTTGTCTGAGACAGTTTTCCTGCATGCCTGCTGGGGTTGCGCCAAAGCTTGTTTTAAAAGGTTTAGGCATTCTTGTTTCAAAACCTCTTGTTGGTTCTCTTTGCATTTCGCGAAGGCCCGGTTATTTGAGCAGTTTTGAGCCCGGCTGACCACTGGAGCGAAAGCCTCGCTGGGCCAGGCCAGGAGCAAAAACCGCTGGCAGCACTGACCGCAACTGACTCCGGCCCGCGGCCCTGCAAGCCTGCAGAGGTTGCGGTCCGGCGCCTTGATTTCGAAGAAAAAGCCTGACTCGCGAATGAATCAAATCACCATCTCAAATGATCGGCGTGGTGGCAACAGTTGCAACCGGCTGCAGCCGAGCAATTGTGACATCATTGTGTATGTGCCGTGGCTCGTTTGTTCCTTTGGGCAGATATTGGGGGGGAGGTCACTCGATACCAATACATCCGCACCAACTTGGGAAGCATCATTCAGGGGAGGAATATTTTTAAGGACCTCTCCAAGGGTCAAGTCCTTTGGATTTGTGTCAAGTGAGTGGTCGGCCGCGCAGCCTCCTAGGGCTTGCAAAGACACGTTCTTTGTCGATTTTTTGGCCAAACCTAGGAGTCAGACATTTCATGGGGCCAGGGATTGAGCCATCACGTTCTTCACATGCAAACTGCCTGCCTCCTGAAGAATTGCTCAGCTGATTTACAGGACCCACTTGTTGATCAGGTGTTTTCGCATGCGTTAAGGAACAGGACAGCACAATGTGACAGGCCGTTTTGAGGTTGGCAGGGCCGGCGTTGATGGCTTGCTCCGATGCTGTCGTGGCAAGGGCCCCTGCTAAACCTGCTTGGCAGCCTGATGATCAATGGCGCCCCAGCTGCGTTTAAGATGTTAGGCGACCCGTGCCATGCAAAATACGGTTCAATCATGTGCTGCTTCATCCCGGCATCGGCCGTGGCCCATGCGTTTGTCTCTTGCAATGTGAGCACGGCCAGACCACCGTCAGGCGCTACCAACTTGATGAAGCTGGGAGTGATGATGAGGGCTACGCAGACCCCTTGGCGCGGCCGTTGGTACGGCGGAGCGCTGGTGTTCGGGATCGGGAATCTGCTGAATTTTAGGCAGGCGACATGCAGCGGCTTCTTTTTCGTTCGCAAGTCCTAAGGGGGCACCAACGAGACAGCCGTCAGGTTTCCCTTTGCCAACTGGAGCTTTTCTGGCCTAAGCTTGGGGCCAGCCCCCTGTTTGCAGGCCACCGGCTCCAGCCGCATGCGGCAATGCGAGAAAAACGCGGGTTCGGCCAGGTCGCTGAGCATGGCCCCGCAGACGATTTTGGCCGCCCTGGGGGCGGTCCAGTTCATCTCCAACGCCGGGCCTCGTTGAGGTTTGTCTTAATGTTGACCCCGGATTGATTAGCCTCTGTTTATCAATATTTGGGTGTTCCCCTCCAAAAGTGATAAATCCCCACTAAAACCAGGGACACCCCAATATTAATAAACAGGGGTTTATTTGCCCGGGGTCAACATTAGCGGGAGGATGGGTCCGTGGAGGTTCCGGTCGTGTGGAGGAGGTTCATGACGGTGCCAGCTTTCGGCTTTTTGCTTTTTCAGTTCCATGAATGACCAGTGGCGGATCCATCCGTGCAATGATGGTACGCGAACCCTTAAATCAAGACAAGGTTTAAGCCAATGCTCCTAAGAAAGGGAGACTGCCCTGTTTTTTTTCCTCATTTTGTCCCATCATGATATGTGTGTGTGTGTGTGTGGTCCCTAGCTGTGTCACGGGGCTCAGGGGATTTGGCCGCGTCCCCCCTTGTTTCATGCGGTTGGCGCGTAAGCGGATATACGGGCTGTGCTGACCTTTGTTAGCGCAGGCGCCGCCCTTTTAGGGCTTGGAATCTGCGCAGGCTGTGCTGGCATTTGTTAGCCTGTTGTTCCCGTTTTGGTCTTTTTTGCCTCTTGGTTGCGCTGGACACCTTGCTGTAACTCCAAGCCGAGGGTGGCTTCGGTAGGGAAGTAGGGTTTTGCCGCAGCTTGCTGCAGGTCGCACATCTTTCACTCTCTCTCTCTCTCTCTTTTGTGTGTGTGTGTGCAGTTTTTCTTTGGGGAAATTATAGGTTGGGTAGCCATGTCGTTGCCTGGCTGTGCTGAGTGGTGCAGAGGCTTGGTCAGCTGACTGGCACAGACCTCAGGTCTTCTTCGCCAGGTTTCTGCTTGGCGAGAAGATCACGTCGCGAACTCTTGGCGCGACAGCTGCGATCGTCATCGGGGTCGTGATTGCTGCCGCTTGGCAAACCGCGCAAACTCCGGTGGAACCCCCCCGAGCATCCTGATTTGTAGAGGGGCGTCCTGGGGACCTTAATCTCCAGGCGAGCTTTTGTTCGTGATTAGGGCTGGCAATTAGCGGTTAGACCTACCGCAGCGAGCAAGCGAGCGAGCAAGTGAGTGAGTGAGTGGCCATCTTGTGCAGCGTAGGTGTACTTCATTGGAAGGAACGAGATCACGACTCAATACACGGCCCTTGCCCTGGCTCAGCGATACAAGGCTGGCCAGCATGCTTGGCCAATGCCCATGCAAGATGTCGCCAGGAGATGGACTATGTTTTTTACTTAAGCGTTCTCGCGGGCGTGGGCGTCTACCTGGAATACACCCACAGGCACACCGCGCTTGGCTGGTACCTTTGTTTGTGGTTAGTCTCGAGGAAGGCCAATGGCAAAGCGGCCTCCGAAGCCCACCAATTGACATTAAAAACACGAGGGGACCCGCCCAATTTTCCCATGCCCTCAAGTGTGAGTTTCTTCAAAAGGGTGGACCCCTTTTGGTTGCTAGTGAAAAGGACACAGAGAGGAAGCCCTCCATTTTAGGAGCCCACGATTTTGAGCAGCTGGTATTTTGGTCCGTGCTTCACATGACACACGGCGTCCTCGTAATTTTGACAGAGAGGCGTGCTCCAGATGCCGCCGCGCTCAAGCCGATCTGCTCCTGGGGCTGCGTTTTGGTTGCTCCACCCGCCAATGTGGTTCTCGGAATTTGCCCAGAAGGAAGCCACAGGGGATGGATAATCTCTATTTTGTCCTGACCCCCTTGTTTGACATTCAGGTTTTGGAGGGATTTTTGAAGCCTAAGGGGTGCAAGGCTCAAAAGCCGACGTGCTTGTCATTGAAGCGAATCCTCGGCCGAGCGTTCCCTTAGGCTTCGCCGCCGCCTCGGCTATTCTGGGAACCCAGTCGGTGGTGCAGGGCAAATGCGCTTCCACGGTGCTCAGCCAGAGCGAGGAGCTGACTGCTCCGGCGCTCTTCTTCCTTGGCTGCTCCCTGGTGGTGCTCGCCCCTTGGAAAAGGAGAATAGCCGAACATGATGGATGTTCCCCGAAGGAAGCCAACAGGAAATTGTTAAGAGGAGTTTTTCAGACCGCTATTCAGCACCCAGCCTGCAAGCAGGGAAATGAATGAGAGGGAGTGATGGAGCATGTCAAGTCGTCTCTGGCACTCGTTCCTGAGGCGGGTGCACAAGCCTTTTGGCTGGTGCGAATGCAGCAGGGCCTAGCCCTCTTTGCCGGCTCGGTGATCATTCCCTCGCTTCAAGTTTTCTGGACCTTGCTGAGCATCCTCACTGGCGGGGTCTATTTTGAAGCTCTGCCTGCATTTGTTGCGGGTGTTGCTTCAGGTGAAGCAGTCTTATTTGTGGTCAAGTGACGGAGCCAGCCGTGTGAGACTGATTAATTGGCATCCGTTATGCATGTCAGACCTGGACGTGGAGCTGGGTTCGCTGCTGCTTTCCTTCTCTCTGCCATTTGTTTCCCCTTTTTTGCGGGCGGAATCCGAGCCAGCAAGCAGTTCAAACTCCAGCCTGCCACCCGATTTTTCCCTCATTTCGCCCTTCGCCGTTCCCAGCGGAGGAGGAGTTCCAAGCGCTGGACATCTGGGACGTGGTGGGCTTCGTGGCTGGGCTGCTGGTGCTGCTGCTGGGGGTGCTGGGCCTGGTGGGGGGCGGCTCCTCCGAGGCGCTGGATCCCAAGCTGCGAGAGCACCGCGCCACGGTGTTCCTAGGCGCCAACCAGGCGCGACCGCGGGATGGCGCAGGGATGCGACGGGTTTATTAGGATGCCCAAAGGTCAAATAACTATTTTTGGAGATGCCCTTGTGGGAGGCTAACGGGAAATCAAAGGTGAACCAGGTTTGGAGTTCCCTCATTTTTGTCGCCACGTTTTGTGATGCCAAGGGAAGGCCGTTTGAAGTGAGACAAAAGTTGTGACATGTGAAGCCCTGGGTCAGGAGCATTTTTTCTTTTTCCCCCAACAGCTGAAAGCTTTGGGGTCTCAGCCCAGATAGGCTCCGGGGTGGTTCAGGGCGACCCTGAGCTAAGGTTCCACCAGGGTTCCACCAGGGGTTCCACCAGGGTTCCACCAGGGTTCCACCAGGGTTCCACCAGGGTTCCACCAGGGTTCTGGGGGTGGTCTGGGGTGGTTTGAGGTAAGGTTCCACGAGGGCCACCAGGGTTCCACCAATTTCTTGCGGGTTTGTCCGAGGTGGTTTGAGGTAAGGTTCCATGAGGGTTCCACCAGGTTTCCACCAAGGTTCCACCAGCCCGTCGTGCTCTGGACGAGGGTTCCACCAGGGTTCCACCAATTTCTTCGAGGGTGCGGCGTGGTCCGGGAAGGTTTCACGAGGGTTCCACCAAGGGTTTCACCAGGGTTCCACCAGCGGTCCGGGCTGGTTTGAGGTAATGTTCCATGAGAATTCCACCAGAATTCCACCAGGTTTTGCAAGGTAAGGTTCCATTCCAGCACGGTTCTAGCAGGGTCCCACGAGGTTCTGCGAGGGCTGCGGGGTGGTCCGGGGTGGTTTGAGGTAAGGTTGTATGAGGGTTTCAGGGTTCCGCAAGATTCTGCGAGGGCTGTGGGCCCTGAGGTTTCACAGGGTTCCACAAAGCTCTGCAAGGATTCCACACGGGTTCCACAAGGCTCCACAATGCTCCACCAAGGGTGTGTCGTGCGCCCGTTCGTCTGAAAAGCCATCGGATCAAGATCGCTTTGCTCATGGGCGGAACACTAAGCAAAACCGAAATCAATGGTTTTTAGCACACTTTCACTGTTTTGTGACTTGCTCACTTGCTCAGGCAAATGTTGGCTTTGTGGCAAATCAGATCACGTCGCTGCGGAACTCACGGTGCAGCAGAGTAAATGCTTGGCATTGCTGCTTGGTGGGCTTTACGCTCCAAGAATTCCAAGGCTGCGAGCGCTATGAGGTTAGAAGGTTTCCACCAAATTCGGCAAAAGCTATGGGGCAGCCCTGGGGAGTGGTTCCAGCAAAGTTTCACGCTGACCTCCACGAAAGTTGCGTGAGAACGCCCGATCGGCCCCGATTGCGCCGGGGCCCGACTCATCGCCTAGTTTTGCTATAGATACAGTAAGGAAACCGGCGTTGAGCTATACTATGGGTGGCTGGGGTTGGATTACGGAACGATCGGGGCCCGATTGCACCGTCGGGCCCCGATTAGGCCCCGATTGCACCGTCGGGCCTTGCGGGCCCCGATCAGGGCCCAACTCAGTCGGGCCCCGTCAATTGTACCAAGCTGGCATCGCCTAGTTTTGCTATAGATACAGTTGCAATCCGCGTGCTAAGGAAAACCGGCGTTGAGCTATAATATGGGTGGCTGGGGTTGCGCCATGGGACGATCGGGGCCCGATTGCACCGTCGGGCCCCCGATTGCGCCGTCGGGCCCCGATCGGGCCCCGATTGCGCCGTCGGGCCCCGATCAGGGCGAGATTGCGCTGTCACTCGTGGCGGCATCCTCAGCAACACCGGCGGTAAGGATGGTCCCGGGGCGTTCCGCGAGGATTCTGGGAGGGTGTGGTGCTGGTGGGGATATCGCCCGAGCTTATTTTTTAAGTATACAATTTATATAACATGTTGCTTTGTTCTTTTTCTGTCCGTTTTTTTTTTTGGGGGGGTGAAGGGAGGAAGTGCGTCTGCCGACATGCCCCCGATTCCTTTGGGTCTCGGAGCATTTTCTGCAAAGACATGTTCAACGCCAATTAGGGAGGACTGGAAATGTGGGCGTCGACGTTGCATCATGGGCTTTCCGATGGGAACTCTGACGCATTGACGTTGATTCGGACCCTTTGGCTTCGAGGAAGCGGTTGGCGTTCATCAACAAACGCAGATAAGGCCAGTACCAAGGTCCGGTGAGGTCTGTTAGTACTCCGCCAGTGCAGGTTTGCTGGCCCGGTGCCAGCCAACAGCCTCATGAGTTTTTGGCGGCGTGTCCTGCCCTCTTTGTGTTTGCACCCACCTCAAGTGGTAAGGGTCCCCAACCGACCGGGTGGTACATAGCACATCATTTGTTGCCCAAAGAAAGCAAGCGCCAAGAGCGCATGGCCAATTTTTTGCTTTCCGCCATTTACACCCTTTCGCCATATTTTGCCCTGCCACCCTTTCAAACAAGTTTGTTTCACCTCGCAGCACCGGAAAAAAACAAAAAAACACAAAACAACAGCGTCTTCGGAGAGTGACCGCGACGAGGACTGTTTCGGGGGGTGTCCTTTAGGTGGACTTCCTGGAGCTGGCGGAGGACTTGCTCTACGACCCCACCCAGCCGTCCGGCGCCGGAGGTGCAGCGGAGGCCATGCGACGGGGGGCGGTCGGGGGGCTGAGGGAAGCCGGGCGGGCTTGGTGGGGGTGCAGGTCAATTTGGCATCCCAAGAGGGTACCATGTTCAAGAAGACTTCCCTTTTCAAAACCGTTTCCTTTTGTTTGTTTCCGAATTTTGCCGGGGGGGGGGGGGGACGTGGATGCTTTTAATACCTCGTTTTTCCAATGGCATATCAATAAAGGGGTCGGCATGGGGGCTGACTTTTTTCAGATTCCTGGGGGCTGAGTTTTTCAGATTCCTGGGGGCTGAGTTTTTCAGATTCTTGGGGGCTGAGTTTTTCCATTAAAAGCACTAAAAAATACCAAAAATATAAGATCAAGACACGTGACCTCTTAGATTTATTGGGGTGCGTTTTTTGGTTTTGTTTTGCTGATGACATGCAAGCACAGATTCATTTTCGATCCAATGAAGACTCAGATGCATCCAGACCTGGAAAATGAGCTAGCTTCAATGTGCACAGAAGACAGCCTGTTGAGAACTATTTTGCACAAATATCATTGTTGGACACAACTATTTAGCAAACGTGTGTCTGTAGCTTATTTTTGGATAATTGGCATGCTTACGCATGCCAAGTTTATAAACCTCAGGGTGCTAACTTTTGGAAGACGTATGTTTTGCACAAATCTTCAACACAAGTTGCATACGTATGCAATATTTTTGGAAGACGTATGCTTAGCAATCTGCAAGCAGATGTATGTTTGGGACAAATATTATTTTTGTGTTGCAATTCTGAAACACGTAAGTATGGCAAGCACAGCTTGCCACGCATATGAAATCATAAGAAAGGTAAGATATCACTGATCTATGCAGCTTTCAGCTGCAAGACTCAGCTCTTTTTACGGTTGGATGTTCAATATTTTTCAATATACGCATGGACTCTGCCCATGCTCTTGAGAAAAGACAGCTAACACAAACATATTTATCGCATAATGAGCTGGAGCAATTGGAGCACAGCTCCAATCTAGTTGCTTGAGCTCAAGAAGCACAAGATGCAAAGATGAGCACCTGCAACGATATCTGCCGATGCAAATAACATTCTCTGCATAAAGCTGTTCAGCTTTGGAATAAGAGCTTTGGAATAAGATTCTTTGCAGCTATTCGTGTTGCTGAAGATCTCTTGCAACAGTAAAGCTGTTCAGAACGGATTCAAGTAGACACAAGCCACAAGCAATTGCTTGTGATGAGATGTTACCTGCAGAAGATGAAATGAGAGATGAGATAAATTATCTCCACTTACCTGGAGTTACCTGCAGAATATCTTGGAAGAGGCTTATGTTCTGTTGATACACATCTCATGATATTCTTGATGTCTTGCATCGAGAAAGCTTGCATCAAGAAAGCATCAACAAAGTATTGTCTTCAGATGATGGGCTGTTTTTTTGTTTTCTTTGTGTTTATGAGCAAAGGCACCAAAAAACCAAAAAACAAACACAACAAAAAACCAGACCCATGGCCCTGAACTAGCAGATGCAGATGGTGGGCTGTGTTTTTTTTTTTTGCGTTTTTTTTTGGTGTTTTTTGGGTTTTTTGCTGAACAAACTCAGCCCCCAGGAATCTGAAAAACTCAGCCCCCAGCAATCTGAAATAACTCAGCCCCCATGACGACCCCTTCTGTATCAATATTGGTTCCAAGACGGTTTATTGGAACTCGGTGAATTGCAGATCCTTGAATATTGCAAGGAGAACAGGAGGAAGCCTCCATGCCATGTTTTGTTGCTATATGTAACGGGGGGCTCTCAATATTGCTAGAACTCTTTGATTGGCCCCAAAAAAAGTTTAACTTGCCCAGGGAATGAGGGAATGAGCCCGTGTGCCTTAAAGGAAACCGCTGGGATGGATTTCGGGGCCGTTTTCGCATTCCCAGCACCAGCTTGAGGGACCCTCCTAGGCCGGCGAAATCGAGATGCGGCGCCGCACGCTGCGCCGGTCCATTTATGCCGCGGAGTTGCCCGGCGCCTGAAAAGGGGGTCGGCTGCGGGAGCCTTGATGCGAGTTGGGTGTGCCTTTTGTTGCAACGTTTGGATGGTTTTAATGGGAAGCCAAGAAGCCAGCCACTTGGAGGAATTGGTCCCACGACGCACCCACCAATGGCACGGGGGATCAAGCATGTCCCAGACTCGACTCAGGTCTCAAAGACAAAGCCGCAGAAACTGCAAATAAAACTATGCAAACTCCTCTTTCGCGCTTAGGACCCCCCATTCTGGTGGGAGGCCGATGTACCATCGGTTGAGGGGGGGGAAGAGGAGTGAGTTCCCTACTCGCTCCAAACACGAGGGTATCTAAGAATCTATCAACACCCATGAAATCCAACAAGCCCGAGATGTTTGGTTGTTCGATTTTGTCTTGGGATTTGGGTTCGTCTGAAAATTACAAGATTGGTTTGATTTTAGTCTTCGTTTCCAGGAGAGGGTGTCTCATGTTGAGACGCCCGTTCACCCCGGTCGTGCCGAGTCATCCCAAGCTTACGCCTTGGACCCAAAATTGCTGCATGTATGTGCGCGTGATCCTGCCGCTTTGTGCCAGCAACCAGGGCTAGGGAGGAGAGTATAGAAGAATTGCCAGAGAAACATGAGCTGACACTTCTCCAGCAAAGAACTTGCGTGCTTTTAACGAACCTCACTATTTCCCTGCACGGGCATCAAGTAAGCAACCAGCGGCCAAACACGCGAGAGACAAATTGGCGTTTGCCGAATTCAACGCGTCTCACACTTGGCAACCCGTGCAACCCGCGGTTGCTGTAGCTTTCGCTTGAGCACGGCCTGGGACTCAGTCGGGCCTTGCCGGTCGAAGCTTGCAGGGAGCAGTGGGGGCTTCAGGCTCGTCCCGTTCTTTTTCAGGCGGAGGTGTTCCTTATTTGATTTGAACCACTCCTTGTTTCCGCTTTTGTGCCTCGTAATTTGCAACAGGCACATTCCAGCATTCTGGCACGCGCCCTGGGGCTAAGCACGCGGCATGACACGCGGAGACCTGTGGCGGCTCTGCACGGCCTCACGTGGCCGAGGTCGCCGCGGCTTGAGGACGCCTCGCCGAAATGGCCGTGCCCAGCATGAGCGGTATGTCGGAGAAGCTGACGCCTGGGGCCCAAGCGCCCAAAGACGCCAGCAGGTTTGGTCCGTTTCCGTTTGTTCAAGGGGGGTGTTTTTTGGAGGAATGCTGGGTGTGTTTATGCTTGGGGGGAAGGGAGGGTGACTAAGCGCCCAAGTGCCCAAGCAATTCAAGGCGCTTCGGTTGAATCGGGTCGAAGGTCGAAGGCTGGGTTGGAGGGGGATGGACAACTCAGCTCGGGGGATGGACAACTCAGCTCGTGGTCAAGTGGGGGCTGCAGATAAACAGCCAGCAAGCAAGCCAATTCAAGGTGAGTGCAGGCTTGGAAGAGGCAAATGTGACTAGGGAAGATGTGCAACAAAAGCGACAGATTTGCCATGACTTGGATCAACTATGGATTAGACACAGGGCACCTGTGGGTACCAGCTCAGTATTCCGGGCTATTGGCTTGCCATGCCTTTGGGCGATGAGTGCCATCGCCATGGGATCTGATGCACCGCGGGTTTGCGGGCGAGTTTCGGCGAAGGTTTCCAGTGCACGCACCTTTTGCGAGGGCGTGGTCATGTACTTGTAGCATTTTAAGCTTCGAGCAGAAGCAACACATGCTTCAAGATTTGGTGGCCTGAGGCCCCGAAGTTCAGCTCAGACCTTGCAAGGTTACCAGGCCAGGGCCTTGGGGCCGGCTGGCAGCGGAAGGGCGCTGGTCGTTTGATCCGCCCGGGGGCGCGCGCATGCGCGCGCATGTGCGCGCCGGGGACGGGGAGAGGGGTGGCCAACCCAGGACAATCACCAGATTGAGCTTTTCATGCAGGCGGGCCGCGTTGCGCCACGGGCACTGGGCGCGCATGCCTGGCTGAGACAACCGCCCGACGTGTTTGTCAATCGGCCCTGAGGAGATGCTTAGCGTCCTTTGCACGCTTCAGCCTGAAGACCCATACGAGTTCATGACGAACCATGTAGCGCCTGAACCCCAGACAGCATGCCCAGCATGAGGGCCACACGCTGCAGCCTTCTGAATCAAATATGTGGCCGTACATGTGGATAGGGAAACACCTCAAATGACATCATTTCCTGCCTGGAAAATGATGTCCAACACAGGGGTCCAGCCACCCAAAACTCCCCCCACGGAGGTCACACCGACCGGCACCCCCGCCTTCCGTGAACGAGCTTTGCGGCAGCGGGGCGCTGTGGGTGTTGCTCCCTGGAGGGGACCTGCAGTGCCGGCGCCTCAGAGACGTCGTTCAAGTCCGCTGTTTCCAGAGAAGAGGACTCCTCCAGATGTTTTTTTTTCCCCAGAATCTTTGGTAGAGGGACCTTTTGTTCGACAAGGAGGGGAACTGGGTCAAGTCGAGTTCTGATTTGTCGACTTGGGGTCCCCGCAAACTCCTTAGCTTTCAGCCTTTCAGCATCGCACTGGAGGGGGTTAGGCTTGCACCTACCTCTGCTCGGGAGACGAAAAACGCTTCCCCGCACGAGAGAAAACCCTCTTGAGGTGCGGAGCACTGGCGCCTGCGCCGTTGCTGGCTCACTACTACGGGCACCTTCTGCATCAGCACGTCCCCTGCCACCGTGGCACAGGAGGGGTTGGCCGGGCTCAGAGGGTTGTCCTTGCCAATCCAGCAACAAATGGTTCATGCCTATCTGTTTTGTCCAAGGAAGGGATGGCTACAAATATGTGCAGGATTGTCACCAAAGGGTGTCATTTTATCCTCTCTTTTTCACCACCTCGCACCTGTCGATGATGTGTTCGAAGCGGAGAGTTGTTCTTGCAGCCTCCCACAGGTGCAGTGTTGTTTGGGTCTGTTCTGCGAGGAAAGCTGCCAGTTGAGTTGGCAAACGTTGACCTTTGTGTTGGGTTCATCGAAACTTGAGTGAGGGCCGAAGCAACTTGAATCTTTCCTGCCCAGTAGAGGGCATGACCTGGCCATGAGTTTGATCGGCTGGACACCCCAACAAACAGGTACCGTGCGCATAGGCGACTGTGGGCTTTCGGTGCATGCCAATCACATGATAAATTCCAGAGTATCGCACATACCAGTGTTTTGTGTATACAACTGTTGATGTTGACCCCGGATGAATAACCCCGCTGGTTGATCAATACTGGGGTGTCCCCTTTTTGTGGGGGTTCATCACGTTTAGAGGGAACACCCCCTATTGGTAGATTTTTATTCTGAGGTCAAAATTGCCCATATGATTCTTTGCCATGTGGGGTACACATACGTACACGTAAGCGAAGGTTTATGTACATGTATATTTCTATATACATGTATACATATATATATATATATATATATATCTATGCACGCACCCCTTCACCCCTAGTGTTGCAGGTTCAAGTGGCCATGCGTCTTCTTTTTTCGTGGGTGGGCGGACCACTCTTGGTGGTCACCAATCCCCATGCACGATGATTGCCAAACGGTCCCCAACGTAAAAACTCATAGGACAAAAGGGGCCTTCCTTGAGTCAGCCACACCCGGTGGTCCCGATTTCTCCGGGCGCTGTGAGGAGGGGGACAAGCTGAAGATGAAGGCACCGGAGAACAAGGCCCCGGCGACGCACCCCATTGCGCTGGGCAGCTCCTTCCGGGAGCTGGACGAAGATGAGGCGGCCCGACCTTTCGCCTTCAAGGCCTGGTGAAAAGTCTCAAATGGAGGTTGTCGGGGATGATGGCTTGCAAAGGGGACCCGACATGGGTATGTCCAACTCTCTAGGAACCCTTTTTTGGGATTTGATGCCAGCCGTTTTCTTGTTGGGGGGGGGGGGCTGAGTTCTGACATGCCTAACTGGTGTGGTTTAACATTTGGCAAGTCTAGCCGGATTTGTGAACTTAGCCAGTAGTTGCATTTTTTTCACACTGGGAGGCAGGTGTGATGCCTCCCACCCTTTCAAGCGGTTTGTGTACGACAGGTTTCCTTCATTCAACGCATGAGCGATAGACAGGTGGCCTGCGGCAAAGACCTCTTCCTTGCCGCCGGGTCTGAGGAGCAGCGGGATGAGTGGTTCAACCTCGTGGGCCATTTCGCGGATGCGGACCGGCGGAAGGGCCGGATCCCTCCCAGCGACAAGATCTTGACCCCGCGGGCGGACGCGGGCGGCACGCATGTGGTGGACGCCATCGAGCCAACGGACATCCAGTTTGCAGATGCCAAAGGCCCGAAGCCTGCCATCAAGCCCCCCAGCCAGCCAGCCAAGCATGTTTTAGAGGAGGGGCCGAGAGAGGCTGCCCGGAAGGCGCCGTTGCCTGCCCGGGACAAGCTCCTTACCCCGCGGGCGGAACTGCATGGCGGCAAGCATGTCATAGAGGAGGTAGGGCCAGCGGAACTTGCTGCAGACCGGAGAAGGGTGCGGTTTGTGACCAGGGACAAGAGCCAGCAGGTGGACAAGACCCCGCAGGTGGACGCGAGCCCAAAGGTGGAAGTGCGTCCACAGGTGGAAGAGCGTCCAAAGGTGGAAGAGGGTCCAAAGGTGGAAGAGGGTCCAAAGGTGGAAGAGGGTCCAAAGGTGGAAGAGCAACCGCAGGCGGACACACGCCAGAAGGTGGAAGAGCGTCCAAGTGCGCGGGCGGAAGAGCGTCCGCAGGCGGACGCGAGCCCGAAGGTGGAAGAGCAGGCTGGGGAAATGTTCTGGACAAATGGAGCCATTTGGCATGCACTAGACCCAAACAGATGCAACATCCATATTTGGCTAGATCTTTTAGTCATCCATTCCGCGCTGCCATGCATGACCCATCAGGCATCAAATCAAATGCATCAACAGCTTGACTCGCGCGCGGCAGTTGAACAGCAGACATGCTCGCGTGGGTCTCGTTTGGCATGGGACCATCGATTTTTACCCACCTGAAGCGACTCTTCCCATCGATATGATACGGCCATGGTTCAACACCAATGGTACCTAGTGATGGGGATGTTTACTGGGGGTACGACTTGGGTTTTGACCCATGCCCACTTGTTGAAATGGGCTCGTTGGGTACTCCTTCGTTGTTGTGGTTCGGCCCGTTGCTGGTCACTCCAGTCCGGCAGTCCGCAGGTGGAGAAGGTCCAGGCGCAGGCGGTGGAAGAGGCGCGGGACAATGGCGGTGAGTAGGTGGGAGGGAAAAGGACAGTGATTGGGTTGCTTCTATGTGGATAGGGTTGCTTCCAGGTGGATACGGTTTCTTGTAGGTGGAGGCGTTTTGAATATCAACCTGGCACCTGCAAAGGCCTGCAAGATGTGCCAAGCACCAGCCTTATGGCAACTGCCTGTCATCAAGTGAGCAGCCGTCAAACCTGGATTCACACAGTCGCACACGGAAGCTGAAGACCATCTCGTCAGATCCTTTATTATATCCGCACTCGTTGGCGTTTCCGCTCGTCACACCTGGTGACCTGGTCCGGCAGGAAAACGCCCCCGCTCCTAGTAGAAAGCTACCGGACTCATTGGGGTAGATTTGTAGCACAGCACCGCGCTGCCTGCCACGATCCCAGAGACGAAGCGAGAGGGGCACCGGCTGACCATGGGAGTTATACCTAAGATTCAGGCAAAAAGCTAGAGAACTTAGACTAACACGACAAACACCCTAAGGGAAGCATACTTTTGAATTCGACACATTTTGGAGATATGTCAAGTTTTCCAGGCCATGCTCAAATTTCGGGACTCAATTAAATCCGGGGAAGCTGGGACTTGAGAGACAGGCGAAGTCCCCTTCGGCTGAGACAGATGCGGCGGAGAGGGAGAAGGAGCTGGAGCGGGCAAAGGCTGGAGCCGCTTTTTGGCCTTCACAGGCGTCTTGAAAACGGCTTCCTGCTCCAACCGACACGGCATTCCTTGAAAGGGTTCATTCCAGGGTCTGGGGTTTGAGCTCGTGGCAGGCGGCAAGGAAAGAGGCCGCGGTCCAACTCGAGAAGGCCAAGGCGGAAAGGGGCTGTGATGGAAAGAGAGATCCGCGCGAGCGGTGCGAAATCAGGAACGCTCACGCCGCGAAGCTTACCCGAGCTCAACCCTAAAACGCAATCACGAAAGCGACCCTACTGGCACTGGCCCATTGGAGCCCCCTAATCAAAGCCTGGGAAATTGAGGCTGCGAACAGGGCTACAAGTCAAGGCGGCATGGTTTCTGGAGTTCTGGGTTGGCCCCTTTTGGTACCACTTCTGACCAGGCCCAGCAGCAGACAGCCGAGCCAGCCGCGGAGGCCCGGGCGCCGGCCCCATCAGCCGCGGAAGGAACCCCCCCGGCAGGAGAGCAGGAGGACGGGGCGGTGCAAATGGATTTGATTCCCATGGATGGAACTTGGACCCTGCCCCCTGCCCATCAACAGTGGATGATGAACATTTGGATCAACCACCACCAAAGCGGCCCCCTGGGTGAAAGGAGCTTGCCGATTGAATTTGTTTCTCTTCAAAGGAGCATCACAAGGGTCACCCTCAACAAAGACGTGCCTTCAAGAACCATCGAGAGGATGTTTCAGTTGGTGCATGCTGGAAGACCAAAGCAGCCAAGGAGCAGCGGAGATTGGAGGAGCTGCGGCAGCAGGCGCAGAGCCCCGCCTGAGAATTGGCACGGCAGAGTTGGGCTGACATAAGCCACCTACCACAGGATTTGGTTGAACTTGAGTTTGGTTGTTCGGCGCCAGTTTTCCCAAAGGACACCAAGGAGACTACTGCCATTGATGTTGAACAGCAACATCGGGGAAGTGCAAGCAATGCTTCACCAAATCCCGAGGGCCACTCAATTGACGGTGCCGGTGTACCAAGGAAGGAGGCACATCAGGAGGGGGAGAAGTGGCGAGAGGAGCAGCTGAGGCAATGGGGTTGGGCATGCGCCATGCACAGGCGCACGAGGTTAAAGGTTGCATCTTTGCTGGCTTGCTGGGCAGCGAGTTGCTGTGGAGCTCGGGGTTTTGGGGAAGCCATGAAATCAAACCAGTTCGGTATTTTTGACCCGGGATGAACAAAACCCTATAGTTGATGTACAAGGGGGTTCCATTTAAAAGAGGATCATGCAAAACCTCCCATCAAGGGGTGGTTATCCCATAAGCATGCTGGAACATTGAATCACCCCCCTTCCCCTTGCAGATTTCCGGGAGCACACAACCCCCCTCCCCTTAAGGAAGACTAATGTAGACCAATGCTGGAGGCGTGTTTGCGTGGTAGCAGGAGCAGTTTAATGCTTGAACCGAACCAACTTGCCAAGGAATGGTTTTTGCTTGTTCTGGTTCAGGTGGGTGTACCAGTCTCTCCCTTGGGGTTGGGGAAGGGCCTTCTGGCACAAGGGCCTTCCTGAGTCAGCTCAGGCAGATCGAGGAGCTGCGACAGGAGGCCCAGAAGCAGCTGGACGAGGCGAAGGCCGCAGGGGCGGAGGAGATGAGAAAGGCCAAGGAGCTGCGGGAGCAGGCGGGTGATGCGGGTGGAGTATCCTGTTCACAGGGCCTGCAATGGTCACATTGGGCACATGTGTAGGGGGCTCTTAAAAGTGACGTTTGGGGATGGTTGAGACTCTGAGGATGTCAATCCTCACAAAGGTGGTATAGGCCAAGTGGGCAGGAGTTTTTGGCCCTTTCCGAGGTCCAGTGATCCCGCAAAACAGCTTTGGACAAATTCAAGGCAATGGATATTGAGGCTGAAAACCCGATCATCACTGTTGGGTAGAACCAGGGACTGGCCTTGAAACGGGAAGCTCATGAAAACCGTCCGCACTTTTTCCACCAACTTGGAGCAACAGCAGTTTCGACTGGAGTTTGTTCGCGAGGCGGAGAGGGAGTTGGAGCAGGCGCAGCAGCACCGGAAGTCTGCGGAGACGGCGGACGAGGCTCGGTCTTGAAGCCATCCTTAACGAGGAACTGGTTCCTCTTCTGCAGATGAACCTGGCACCCCAGAACCAGATTCCCACCTTTGTGGGTTGGGGGAGCCAGAGGCCGACGCAGCCCATCTCATTAGCAAAAGTAGAGGTGAACGCGCGGATTTGCGCGCCTCTTTGTCATCAACAAGATAAGTCCCCGACCAAGTGTTACAGTATGTCTCCACGTTTTGATTGGCTCAAGGGGGTAGTTGGACTGGAGAGAAGCCGGGGTAAAGTGGATGCAGGTGACCAGGCGCGTGCTAACGCAAAGTGGCCAGTAACCACAGCCTTTGCGAGATTTTGGGCAATATGGAGCCATGGTGTCTGGCCGAATCACTCATTGAAGCGTCACATGTCATAGGTCCCAAAACCAGAAGGCAAATGCCCGAACACATCACGTGTCACTGAACAAACATGGGTCTCCTACTTGCTTAAAATAGTTCTTGCAATTCGCCTCGGCCTTTGGCCGTTGGCTTGCAGCTGGTTCCATCAGAGTTTACAATCATCACATGATCTGTGTCGGCTGGGCCTTTTTTTGGGAGTGGGGCCGCCTTTGTTCTGCAGAAGTCTTGCACCAAACAAAACATTCAGCCGCCTGCAGTTCCAAGGCAGGGCTTGTGAGAAGCGCATGGCAGGCGCAGCCTCCGGCCGAACAGCCAGAGTTGGAGGAGCAGCTGGAGGATCTGAGGGACAAGGCAGGGGCCAGCTTTGGTTTCACAGGCCTCCTTTTTGGTTTCCCCTCTGCATGCCGGAGCCGATCGCCGGGTGTAGCATGCTTGGAAAGAACTATGGTATGGGCATGCATTGATCAGTTGCAAGCGCCTGGAAAACCGAGAAGCACACATGAAACACCTTGGCATGCTGGCTGGATATGCTGTCGGTTCTTGAGCGCGCTAAGGCGCAGAAGGAGCGGGAGGAGGCGGAAGAGGCGCAGAGGAAGTTGGCCGAGGCCGTGCTCAGGTTCGAGAAGGCCGAGGAGATCTGAAGGGCTCGGAAGGGACAGTTGCGTCGCATGGTGAACGGCCCCTCCTTTTGGTTAGTGTCCAAAAGCTCCAAAACGAAGCTGTTTGTGGCTGGGTTTACGGCGAACCCCAAAAACCCGCAGAGCAGACTCACGTACCGCGACAAGATTTTACAAGTACCGAACATGGCTTTGGAACTCTGCGAGCACGTCATTTGCATTGGCCCTATGGCTTAGCCGGCGGTGCCAGCGAAAGGGTGATGACCACCCACAAGCATCAAGTGCATTCACGCAGCCACCTATGTGCCACAGAACGCCCCAACGAGAAGAGGGCACTCGAACAAGGGCCCATAGTGCCCACCATGAGCGCAATCAATATCAGCTCTAATATACGTACGCGTTATCTGTATTATCTATGCATACACACATGCGCACACACACACACATGTATATATATATATAGATATATATATATATATATATATATATTATATGGGTGCACCTACATATTAGCACCTGCCCTGTTCATGAGCCTTGTCGAGACGAGAACCCGAGACTCCAGGGTCCACATGGGGCTTTCTCAAAATAGTTTTCCAGTACCGGGTTGTTTCCTTCTCCCCTGGAAAGCCGCTAAACGAGGGGTCACCACAGTCTGAACATCCATGGCGAAGATTCCCTTGCGGGTTTTCGTTGTGCCGTCTTTGTCCCGGAGATTCCCATGGGTTCCGAGAGGATTGCTACCACCCGGGGCCTTTGTCCACGGCCCGGTCCTCCGCCAATGCCTCCGAAGCGGTGGGGGAGATCGCGGCGGAGATGATGGACGCCATGATGCCACGAGCCACGAAAAGCGCGAGGGCTCTTACGTTGGCTTCCCCGGGCCAGCATGGACCCCGCAAAACCCAACATGTTGCAAGCAAGGAACGAGGGAAGACGCTGTAAATTGCTGTGGCTTGTGCTTGGCTCCCTTGCAATATGTAGGAGCCTTGGGGGGGGCTTGATTGGAAGGGCACAGAAAGGCGCAGAGAGACATACGAGCTGAAGCCTAGATCCAATGTTTGAACACAGATCCAGCCTGTGACGAGGCTGGACCCGATCATCTCGATCTTGCATGAGCCACTGGACCCGGCTACGCTGCTGTTTGGTGAGACTCCCGACGCTTGGCTTTGTCCCCAGCCAGGGCTCCAAGTTTTAGGTTTTTTTTTTTGGTGGGCATGGAATCTACCGGAGTCCAAGTCTTCCAGGACCTCAGTCAGGTTCCATGTTAGGAGGGTAAATTGAACATATAGCGCAACCATATGCAAAGGGGGCGAACGCTCTTGATTTCCAGTAACAGTTGGGAAATGCTTGTGCCAGAGTGTTGCCGTCAAGGGACAGTGGCGGAAGTCGTTTTGCTGCTGAACATCAAGACCTCGAGTTTGAACGCCACTGTTTTTGGGGCCGGTTCGTCAAAATTGTCTAGTGGGCCTTCTAGACCTGGGGTCCAGCATGACAGTTCTAGGATGGCTTCCGCTAAACGCCCAAGCCACCCCTGAAATATAAACACTATATAAATGAACGCATCAATCAAATCACTAGGTGAATAAGTGAATAGATAAGTCAGCAAATCGATACATCGATAAAACAACACATAACAAATGCATAGATCAATGAATGGATGCATGACTAAGATAAATCAATCAATAAGTAACTAAATACATGAATGCATAAGTCACATCATAAACCACAAGTACAGAGACAAATGTGCTATTAGAGCCCATCAAGCGCCTGCGGCCCTTGTTGAGGGGTGGGTTTCCACCTTCTGCTATTGGCACCTGAAGCGAGTGCATCCCAGGCCACCACCCCGATGGCCACCCACGTCGACACGGAGTCGGAGGGAGCCTCCGCCTTTGAAGCCGCGGAGCGGCGGATCGAGGAGCTGCAGGCGGGAGGTCTGGCGGTTCGGCGTCCAGATGTCCAAAATGGCGCGCCAAGGAGGTGTCTGCCAGCTCCAAAAATGACCCGACATGGGTTGTCTAAAGGGGTTTCACAGGTAGTTTGACAACCTCTCAGAATGCTTCCTTTATAGATCCAGGGGAACCGCCCAAAGTGAGTGTCACCTGTGGTTTCCCTTGGCCCCACTGCCAATTTTCTGTCCAAGAAGGAGCCCCCACAGGGGATCGGGGATGGCCACGCGCTGCAGGAAAGTCTCTTTCCACTTCAGGTGCTGGACTTGTGCCAGTGAGGTTACGCATGCTTTCCAAGGGGGGAAATGAGTTGCACGATTGTGGTTTCAACATTCCTCAGCCGCGGAAGGATATTCCGGTCGCAAAAGTGTGTTGCGCTTCGGCACCATCAATCCCATATGTTTCACCCGTCCCCACGTGTGTGCGCAACAGCCAACCTGGAGAAAGCTCTCCAAGCCAACCCTAAACCCTGAGCCAAACAACGAGCCAGCCCTACATCCTAAGCCAAATCTTGGCCAGGGCTGCTTTACCTGCTTTGGGTTCGGGTTTGAGGGACTTAAGTGTCCACTCAGGGTTGAGGATATTTGTTCAAGCATTGCCAGTCAGATTTGTCTTGCCAGTCAGATTTGTCGAAAGCGTACTAGCTCGTTCGCCGGCCTCTCAAGTCGCATGTGCCAGCAAATTCGGATCCCTTGTGAATGCGCACCAAGGAAGCGAGCTTTCCCATGAAGCTTCTCTACTTGGGGGTCCCCACTTCGTATTTCTGGTTTGAGGGCCTACCACTTGGAGTTTTCCTTGTTGGCCGCCGGATTTCTGTAGGAGCCTGTAATATTGACCCAGGATGAATAACCCCGTCCCATTATTAGGGGAATATGTTCCCTCCAAAAGTGGTCTGAATCCCCACTAAAAGGGAACACTCCCCGATCAAAATCAACCAGGGATTCTTAATCCGGCCCCTATTAATCAGCCAAGTTTTTCCCCACCCGACAGGAAGGGGTTGTTAGATTTTATGTTGGAATCCGCGTTTGCGATGCTTCTACACCACCCCCCACCCAGTATCCTGCCAGAGCAGCTCGCCAGTGGATCCCGCCGAGTATCCCGCCAGAGCTGCTCGCCAGTGGATCCCGCCCAGTATCCCGCCAGAGCTGCTCGCCAGCAAGTATCCCGCTGAGTATCCCAGAGTAGCTCGCCAGTGGATCGCCAAGTAACCCGCTGAGTATCCCTTGCCGGTGGATCTTGCCGAGTATCCGGCCAGTATCGAGCCGGAGCGGCTCGCCAGCATTCGCCAGTGCATCCCGCCAGTATAGTCTGGTTTGCTTAATATCCCGCCCGGCGCACAGTTGGGTTTACATTTCACGTTGGTGCCTTCGTGTTTTGAGTGCGCCCTGAGCCTTGGAAAGGGTCATGCTTTTGTGTTGCTTTGGGCTATGAATAAGCAACTTCGTTTAATCCCCCGTCGGGCTTCTTTTTGGAAGGGGCTTGGCTTTTTGTTAACGGAACCAATGTTTGAGTTCTCGAGATCGGCTTGCAGACAAGTGGAGTTTGACAGGCACAGGTGGACAAGGCTCTCAATGCAAAGCTTGTTGAGCAGTCATAGGCCCCAAGCCGCTCGAAAACCATGCTTGAATTTACACAACCGTGCTCACGGAAGCGAAGTATTTTTTCCTCTTTGTATTCTTTTTTTCTCGGGGCTAACATGAACCCTCCCAGGCGCAGGCCCAGAAGGAGCTGGCGGAGGCCGAGGCGGCGCAGAGGAGGGCGGACGACTTCGCGCGCCAGGCGGGGGAGCAGTGGCGCGCGGAGGACGGGGGCCGCATCGCTTCGAAGCATCGGACCAACAGGCCTGGCCCGGAAGAAAGGTGCCAAGCCTGGAATTCACCGAAAAAGCCGTGAATACCTAGCTGAAAAGAATAGGAGGGTCTTGATAGGATCCGTTTTTTGTTTTTTTCCCCGAAGGAAGCCAAAGGAGTCAAACTTGGAGGAGTGCAGTGTATACCAAGAATTGGGTTCATCGAGCACCTACCCCTGGTTTGGCTTGAATAATGCGTTTGAGCAGGAAGACCATGTGCTTCAATGGTTTGCGCAATCAGACCACCCCGTTTTGAAGGAAGGAACCAAACGAGGATGGCTAAGCCCTGTTTAAGCTAGTGTTCTAGCTGGGCGCCTTGTCGGTTAGGACCGGATTGACCAAACCTTGGAGGAGTTGCGAAAATTGGAAGAGCTGCGGCAGCAGGCACAGCGCCTTGCCTGAAGTAGACTGTGTGACAGCTGCAGGCGGATGCCTTTGCCTCGGATTCGATTTGTTTGATCCAAATCCGCAGGCATCACCCTGGTTCCAGTTTTTTGTTGGTGTCAGCAATGGCCAATATGTGTGCTGCACAGCGAGCATATCCACTGACCTGGCACCATTGGGCTTCACATGACTGATGTCAATCTGTTCCAAGCCTCGGATCCAAACCCCTATCTGACATTTTTCCACGTGTGGCATGGGGCCTTCGCACCAAATGGGTGTGGCTTAAAAATTAAGCAGGAGGGGTTACGCAGGTTTGGGTCTATGTTTCCACTTGCCAAGGGGCCATTTTGGTCAAATTGCGCCGGACTCCCGAGGAAGGAGCTGCAGGAAGCCTCCGAGGCGCAGCAGAGGGCGTCCCAGGAGGTGCAGAAGGAGGGGGAGAAGTGGCGGGAGGAGCAGCTGAGGCCATGGGGTTGGCCGAAGGCTTCGACGTTTTTCGACTACTTGGCTTGTGTTTTTTGCTTGTTTGCTTGGTTTTTGCTTGCTGTTTTTTTTGCTTGCTTGGTTGCTTTGTTGCTTGGTTGCTTGTCGATCTTGCTTGCTATTCAATGTGTTTTTTTTTTGTGTGTGTGTATGTTTTTTCTGTTGTCATGGTGCATTTTCAGTTAGTACAGTGGCCATGTAAGATTGCCAAATCGCCGCTTGGGCAGTGACCACCTGGAGCCGACTTGCAGGCAAACCCTCCCTTTGCCGGCCCAGCGGCTCAGGCAGATTGAGGAGCTGCGACAGGAGGCCCAGAAGCAGCTGGACGAGGCGAAGGCGGCGGGGGATTTGACGGCGGAGGAGATGAGAAAGGCCAAGGAGTTGCGGGAGCAGGCGGGTGATGTCAGACGAGCGCCCCTTTCAATGTTTGTTTACCCTTGCTGCTTGTGAGAAGTTGCCTGCCTCAGTCGTTGGTGGCTGCCCATCTCCTTCACCTAGGATTGTCCCTACTACCCCCAAGCACAACCCTCATGGAATATGCGACCACAAACCAATCAATCAATTGCACAAACCAGCTTTTTCCCTTGGTGGTTGCGGGTAGGATCTTTGACTCAGGCAGAGAAAGAGCTGGAGCAGGCACTGGAGCAGAAGCGAAAGAATGCGGAGGCGGCCCAGCAGGCATTGGACGAGGCTCTTTTGGAGGCCCTGGGATGTTGGGTTCGGAGCGCGGGGTGGACTTTTAGGGTCTGGTATTGGGTTTGCCGGGTTTGAATCCACTCGCCCCTTCAGCGTCCCTGCAGTGCCACCTGGCCACTAACGATGCAGAACCACTGTGGCATCTCCAATCATGGCCACTTCGCCAAAAGTTGAGGGAACCCCTGAGGCAAGCTAGGAACCAGGTTGTCCTGTAATGCTTCAGTTCGGTGCTCTTGTGGCAGCGTCAAATGGCAGCATCAAATGTCCACATCCACAGACTGAAACGTACCAACATTGGTGTAATCAGCCGTTTATAGATTTGTGGCCCCCTTCAGGATCCTGGCCTCTCTATGTTAGAGTCCTTTCTGGGCAAGTGAGCCGCCCCTTGAACGGTTGCTTGGCTTTGTTGCGTAAGCAGAGTCCCTCTTTTGGCCAAACTCTGCAAGCATCTATGGCCAGGGTTTGCTGGGCTCAAAGCCCATCTCGGATGTTGTCGGAAGGGTCTGCCAAGCCTTGCTCTTGGGGCGGCCAAAGCAACAGTATCGCAGAGGGGCCATTCACTTTGGGCAGAGTTCCCTAGATTTTTCCTTGAGGTTGGCTTAAACATCACCTTTTTAGGCCGGTTTAAAGTGGGTTTTCTTTTGGTTGGGCCATGTTTCAGGGGCAAAGTGCTGGGAATCCTGATGGGGGGGGGGGCGGAAAGCAGACCCATGCGGAGGAGTTAAAGAAGAAGGCGCGGTCCGAGCTGGCGGAGGAGGTGGATTTGGAGCGGGCGGAGAGGGAGAAGGAGCTGGAGGAGCTGCGGGCGAAGGCTGCTAGCTCAAGCCAGGGGGTTCCTTTAAGACGAACCACCAACACTCTCTTGCCTTAGTTCCTCTGATGATTTCTTGGAACCCTCCAAAAACGCGGATTCCTCTACCAAGGATGGTTTTTGGGGTCCATGTTCATCTGGGGAGTACGGCCGGCGCCGGCTTGGTTTTTCTGGGGTGACTGTTAGTGAAGCCTGCTCGGGATGCGACTCTGCGCCGGTCTGGGCGCCAAGCTCACCCGAGGCACAGAAAGAGCTGGCGGAAGCAGAGGAGGCGCAGAGGAAGGCGCAAGAGGCCGCACTGAAGTCGGGCGAGGATTGGAAGGCCGAGGCCCGCTTTCCGAAGTTTGCGCGCCTGTGCTCTTGCCGCGTTGCCACGGTCAGGGTCACAAGTCCTTGGAATCAGCAGGTCAGGATTGAATCCCCTCGCCGGTCCGCCCCCCCACTGGGTAAGTAGAGATGACCTCCCAAAGAAAGCTCGGACTTCTTATTGTTGGATCCCCCACTGTAGTTCCATTCAGCTCTGCTCCAGACAGGGCCTTTAGTGCGTTCATGTTGATGGGCCGGGCCGGGGGGGGGGGGGATTGGCAACTTGCCCAGAAATTGCCAGATCCTCTCATTACAATGTGGCACTGGATCCTTCTGGTTTCCCGTTCAAACAACAAGGCTCAAACAAGGACACACCCACTTGACATCCGAGAGGAGCTGAAGAAGCTCGAAGAGTTGCAGGCCACCGCCCGGAAGGAGTGGCTGGGACTTGCCTTGCCACTGTGATACGGTGGACGCCTCTACTGAGTTTTGTGGTTGGTCAAAGACTGTTTTTGTTAATTCTCTTGTCAAGTGCTACTTTTCCCCGTGTCCAACTGGGGGAGGGATGATTACGTTCGGTCTTTGCGGTTCTTTTCACGGCTCGGTAGGGATGTCTGCTGACCCTGCCCCAGTTGAGTCCTGGAAGATGTACAGACCAATGCAGACCAGTGGCTTGTTGAATTGCGTCAGCAACCGTATGTTTCTGGCATTTATTCTGATGGTGCATTGTGTTGGCCAAAAGGCAGCTCGCATCCCGAAAGTGAAGAACTCTTATCAGGTGAGCCACCAACAAATTCTGTAGACACGCAGTTCCACCTTGTCCAAGGCTCATAGAACTCAATCGATTGATCGTGAATGGCAGACATTGAAAGCTTTCTTGCCTCCGGGGCTCCTCCGCAAATGTTGGTGACAAACAATCCGGAATTTAATGTTCACCTGAAACAAAGAACTGGAGACAAAGTTTCGGAACTCCTCGCCTAATGCTTTGCTGGGGGCATTGGCGCCGAACGAAGTAGTTTGCATGTTGATGCCTGCCACGCTGCGAGCGAAATGAGCAAACACCCAACGTTTTTCACAGTGACGGCTCCGAAAACACCAGGCGATTAGCGCAATCGTGACCTAGTAGTTGGTGCACGGCGTGTAGACGGCCGTGGAGCTTTAAGCATTTGTTCGTTGTTTTTGTTGCATTGTTTTTCTTTTGGCCCTGGCTTGTTTTGCGGTGGCTACCGAGTCGGGTCATTTCTTGTTTCGGCTCAATGTGAGCGCCATGGATGCGTATGCTTTTGAAGTGTCTTTGTCTCTTGCGTTTGTTCTGCTATTGCGTTTGGCTTGCGTTCCACCCCCAAACTGGTCTGAGGTTCTCTATGGTTCTCTTGAGGGTTTGGTCGCTTGTTCCTGGTATTTGGACCATCATCGTGACGTTTTCTGCACAGTTGAATTCGCAATTCTTGCCTCCATTGAGTCCCACCGTGGTCCGATTTGCTTCACTTCTTTGACTGAACATCTTCCTTCGCTTGCGTCCGCCTGGTCTCGGAACGTTTGCACGGTTGGTGGCTGCCTTGCCCCTGCTTTGACTGCTTCTGCCTTTGTTTTGTCTGCGCCAATTCTTCGCGACTCCAATGCCGACATGGGAGTGCCTGGGCATCACTTGGCATGTCAAGCATATGTTTTCGCCAGCAGTGCGTTCTCTGGAGGAGATGCTCCTTTGTCAGATTTTATTTTCCAGTGGTGCTTTCGTATTTGGATGCCGCAGATGTCAGCAGTCCGATTCCAATTTGAGCTGGAAAAGCTGTTGTAGAAAGTAGTTTGGCGCAAAAAATCCCTTGAAACCTCCACGGGCGTCTACACGCCGTGTACCCAGCTTGCCAACAAGGTTCGCCTTCAAGTTGGGCTTGGAAGTTCCGTTTCTAGTGCCAGGAGGCCTGCGCAAAAATGAGATGTGACTTGGAAGTTCTATGGGTTGTGGCGCCAGCTTGACACATGGCATTCGGGGGCCCCACCCCCTCAGACAGCCTTTCCAGGAGCTTGCGGAGGCAGAGGAGGCCCAGAAAAAGGCCGCCGAGGCGGCGCGCAAGGCTGGGGAGGAGTGGCGAGCCGAGCAGCTCCGGAAGATCGAGGACTTGCGGCGCCAGGCGGCCCGTTGGAAGGAAACGGGCGGGAAGGAAAGGAGGAAGGAGGGCAGGTTGTTGGGTGGGTGGGTGAGTGCACGCAGTAGCTAGCATGGTTTTCTGGAATTCAAGGGGCCCTAAAAGAAAGGCTCTAGTGTAAAGCAACGAAAGCCCTTAATACCCAGCCCAAAGCCTCCAAAGCTGACCCCCGACTCCCCGACCCCCCCGCCTTTCTGAGGCGCAGCAGGAGCTGGCGGACGCGGAGGCGGCCGAGGGCCGCGCCACGGAGGCGGCGGCTTTGGCGGGCGCGGAGTGGCGCTCCGAGACTTTGCAGCGCTTGGGGCTGCAGCTCCAGGACCCCGACGTGTCTCGAGCGAGCCGATGCGAGCGGGGCTGCGAGCGGGCGGGGCGGCTGATGCGAGCGGTGGGGTTGGGTTGGTCTCCCAAGCGGATGCCAAATGACTGGTTCTACCTTTCTTTCTGTTTTATTTTTTATTTTTGGGGGGAGGGGTCGATTGGCTCGAAGGGGATTGGGCTTTGGCTTCTCCATTGGAAGCAGTTTGTGAGACTTGTGATATGAAGACTCGTCTGGAAAAAGGAACAGGTTGAAACCAACATCAAGCCAACCACGTTTCCCTTACAGACAAGCATGGCACCCAAAAATGGTGGTTTCCCTCAACGGGAGATTCTGTGCCGAACGCGAGTGGCTACTTCCGGTACAAGAGAGTGGGAAGGCTTCTTTACCCAGATCCGTGTCGGTTGGTCAAACTCAGGAGACTCAGAAGGAGTTGCAGGAGGCCAAGCAGATCTTGGGCAAGGACAAGGAAGCCCGCTGCCTACGTAGGTTGTTTTTTGGTAGAAGCAGGCTTGCCATGGGAAATGCGAACAACATCAGCAACGGATGATACAGGCATGTGCATCTCCAATACGCGGGTCTGATTGATCCCGGTGTGTGTTGTTTCTTTGCCTTGCGCCTTTTTTCGTTCGTTGGGCTTCCAGCTTTGCTTTTCATATTGATATACGTTGGCCTGTCAGCAGCCGGTTGTTCTTTCACCGAGCTCCGCCTTGAACTTGGGTCTTTCAATTTTCAGGCTTGCGTTTGGCTTCCATCTTCGGGTGAAACATAGCCGGTTCCTCACCCAGTTTGCCCAAACCACTGGCCAGCAGTCTCGAGTTTGTCGGTTTGTGTCGTTCTTTCCGCCTCTTCCGCTTCTTCCGGGTGAAGAGCGGAAAGCGCAGCTCCAGGAGCCCCAGGAGGAGGAGGAGGAGCGGCTCCAGGCCTTGAAGGAGCTGGACATGGCGCGCCAGGTGCGGTCCAAGGCGGAGGCCTGCAGAAGCCAAGCGCAGCAGGAGCCAAAAACGTGGCATAGCGTGCCAGACAACCACAGGGGGGGGAAGAGGCATTTTATTTTATTTTTTTGAAGGGGTTTTGCGCTTGGTTGGCCCCTCGCCTAGGCCCTTTGAGCAGAACATTTTTGTTGTCCTTCTCCCTTCTTGGTTGGGAGAGTCAGTCGCTGGAAGGTGTTGTCAAGTCGGTCAACAACATAAAATGAGTTGGTATGCCTTGTCTGGTTCCGATTTTTTGGACAACCATTGATTGGTTTGTCGAAGGTCCCATCACCTGTCCGTTTGGCAGACGTGGCCTAAAAAGTTACAGCCAGCATGACTTCGACTCCCCGATGGGCCCAGCGAACCGGCGGTGGCTCCGCCCTCAACTTACGATTTACTGGTTGGACATTTGCCGCTGTAAGAGGTCCAATGGGAAATGCTGAAAGTGGAGGTGATTCTGATTGGTCGAATTCGAGATCCGTGGTGAGACACCATCAGCCACACGGAGCTAGAAGGCGGATGCTCTTCTGATTCTAGTCGGTATAAAGTAAGTTTGGAGTCTTCCCCGACGGTCCCCCAGGTGGAAGATACAACTCCGACAGTACTAGCATATTTTACGAGCGTGGCAAGTCCCCAACTGCCGGTTCCTGGCGTAGAATTTTGGGCTTGAGCCCGGCCATTGCCTGGCTCCGTGCAAGACGCCCAGAAGCCTTGCGCGAGGAGCTGGAGGCGGCGAAGATGGAGAAGACCTTGGAGCAGCGCCGGGAGGAGGAGAGCCGCAAGGCCAGCGAGCTGCGCTTCCAGGCCTCGGGGGTTCGGAGCCGGAGTTGAACACTGGGAGAGGAGCTTACCTCTTAAAAACGCAACATTTCGTATCTTTTTGGGTAACATGGGCTATATGTCTGTAAAAGATCAATGTCCCCAGGGCTTGGAGTTTTACGTGGTAAGGGAATGAAAAGAGTCGAGGTTAATGCGAAATGGTGGTGTACACATGGGGGATTCCATCAAGCCTTGGGCCGCGTGCGCCTTGAGGGCTTCGGCTCTCTGATTCGAGTGCGAGCGCAGCGAAGCCACGGCGATGGTCTAAGACCCGCGAATCGCACCAAAGCCACCAAACCAATCCACACAAACCATCCAAGCAAAGCCAAACCCGCCCCCAAGCCGCAGCCATCTAGGCCGAGAAGATCAAGGCGGAGGCAGAGGCCGCTCACCGCCACGCGGAGGAGCTGCGACAACAGGCGCAGGAGGAGCCGGCTCTGGGAATTGGGACAGCGATGGGGTTTGCTCATGTTCTCACCGAAAAGTATTGGAATTCGACGCAGGGCTTCTGATGGCCCAAAGTTTTCGAAGTGATTTCTCCCTTCTTTTCCTTGGACGGAGGACCTTGGCAGCTGATGTAAGTGTCCATTCAAGTTTGCCCCGAGTATTGCCTCATGTTTCGATGGTTTCCAGGTCCAAACATGTTGAAAGGCGACGCACCCTGGGAGGAGCTGCAGCGGGCGGAGGCCGCGCGGAAGGAGGCGGAGAGTCGGCCCTCCACGCAGCCCCCGCCTCTGCCGCTGGAGCAGAGCCGCAGCACCCTCATCGCCGCCCCCGTGCCCGACACCTCCAGGAGAGAGAGGGGTCGGATTTTCGCGCCATGCCGCCGGAAGGGAAAACGGCAAAGCCAGGCCGGTGATTGATTTGTATCCCCTATCTCTTGACACAGTAAGGTGTATGCCACATGTGCGTATCTCGGTGACATGCTGGACATGCACGTATCTCTACCACCTGACTTGTTCACAGCCGCTGACGTATCTCAAAGAACCACGGCCATGGCCCACCCATGGCCCAACGGAATATAGGTAGCGCAAGCTTGGCGAGGTGACAGCAGCGCATCATTGCACGCATGTTAAGCTGAGCCTGTACATCAGGTGTTGGTGCGGAAGGGTTGCAGGGTTCCGTGCCTCGTGTAGAAGGGAGAGCTTTCACCGGAGTGCCTGAAGTGTGCACCCAGCCGATGGCGGATGGATTTCTGCAAGTGGACGTGGCAGACGTCATAGACTGAACTTGCACAAGGTTGTCGCAGTCCTGTTTGGTTCTATGGGCCAGTTGCAATTCGCGTAAGGTCTGTTCGTTTTGTGGACTACAAGGTATTTTGGGGCTTCCTCATGGCCGGCCGAAGGAGTAGCAAAATGGCGCTGCCAGGAACAACGGCTCCGGCCATGGAGCATGACCACCCCTCTTGAGAGGAACATTTCCCCGTTTGCAAATGCGGCGCCGTGGGTTCACCCGGACACAAAAAATGGCAATGGTCAATTCCTGTCAACGTTATTCACCAGGCCGGCGCAAAGAACGCCTGCGGGGCCACCACTCCCCAAGCTTCTAGGAGCATGGGCCGCTTCTCGGCCACCCAGAGCGAAGTCTTCCGTGACGCCTTGGACGAGGCCGCCGCAAGTCTGGTGGCCGACATCTTCGTCAATGCCGCAGAGGCGCGCGCTGCTGAAGGCTTTGAACGTGTGGAGACCACGTTTTTTTCTCCTTCCCCCGACTCACATGGTTTTATAAAGATTTGAACGAGCAAAAGGGTTGAAAACATGAGCAACCGGGTGCCAATGATTTGAATGAATGGTGGCTTGAATGAGCCCGAGCAAAAGCGAAACCCCCGAGGTGCAGGAGGCCAAGGCACGGGAGTCCCAGGCCCCTCTCTCAGGGCGCGGGCTGGGTGATTTTTTTTCTTTGGGCGGATTCTTCCTTCCCACAAGACGTGGGTGTTTGTTTGTCTCTTATTTTTTGTTTGTCTCAGTCTTATCATTTCAGGCAAGTTTTCTCTAAGGCCTCCTGGCCTTACGCTGTTTGTTTGCTTGAAAAAACGATGGGTGAGCTCCTGAAACCCCCATGTCAACCATGGTTCCTTTCCTTAAATGGCTGGGGCTCTTGGCGACGCCACGTTGCCCTTGTGATGTCATGGACCTGGCGCAGTTTGGTATCATCGAAATTTGAAGTTCCCCTTCTCTGGAACACACCCGCACCAGGGTTATACAATTGGTTGTGCCCAGAAAAAGCTGATGGGTCTCGCACTGCCAGCGGCTGGACGTATTTCCATGTTAGACCGCCGGCTGGCTGGTACCGCTTGGCTTGCAGTTCGAGCAGCAACGTGGGGGGGGGGAATTTGGGGAATTTGGGGGGGGGGGAATTTTGCCGTTGCTTGATTCGGCCGTGAGCTTGGAGTGGGCCACTTGGGGCCCCAGGGCCCCGAGAGCCGAGGCGAAGGCCGAGGCGAAGGCCGAGGCGCCCCGAGAGCCGCGTTCGCACGGAGCTAGCAAAGACCCTGGCTGTGATCCCAGAAAACACACAGTCTATACACATTCATGTAGAGACATCTATGCGCAGATGTGTGCGTATTGAATTACATGAACGAAGACCATGCATATATGTTCATATTTGTATAGGAACACGCGAATGTATGTGAACATATGGATTTATGATTTATGTATACACATATATTTATATATGTGCATACATGTACACATGTGTATATGCAGAAGTATATGTGTGTATATGCAAATATGTAGGTATCTATGCATACATGTGCATAGGTAGATCTGCATATATGTGTATAGGTAGATTTGCATACATGTGTATGTGTATAGGTGCATGTGTTCAGGCTTGCAGCTTGGCATTTGTTTCTCCGCCCTTTTGAGGCAGATGTGTGTCGGAGGTGCACCATGTGATTTTGCAATGGTCGCTGACTACTGGTGCAACATAGCACAAGCATTTCACAATGGCCCTGAATGTCTGAAAGACGACCTTGGCTGTCCCTGATCAAGTCAGCGATGGTTACTTCGCATGCATGAGGAGCTTTTACGCAAATCTTGATTGTCTTTCGAGATCATCATTCGAACAAAAGATGTGTCAGAGACATTTCACCCTTGCGCCGAGCACGTACGTTGACAGGCAGATGCCAAAGCAGCTGCAGATGCCAAGGCTGCAGCTGACGCTAAGGAAGCAGCAGATGTTGCTGCCAAAGCAGCCGCAGATGCAAAGGCTGCAGCAGATGCGCAAGCAGCAGCTGATGCTGCTGCCAAAGCAGCTGCAGATGCAAAGGCTGCGGCAGATGCGCAAGCAGCAGCTGATGCTGCTGCCAAAGCAGCCGCAGATGCAAAGGCTGCAGCAGACGCTCAAGCAGCAGCTGATGCTGCTGCCAAAGCAGCAGCAGATGCAAAGGCTGCAGCAGATGCGCAAGCAGCAGCGGATGCTGCCGCCAAAGAAGCTGCAGAAGCAAAGGCTGCAGCAGATGCGCAAGCAGCAGCTGAAGACAAGATGCTTGCGGATGCCCTGGCGGCAGACGCGAAAGCAACCAAGATGGCGGCTGACGCGAAGTCAGCAGCAGATGCAGCTGCCAAAGCAGCTGCAGATGCCAAGGCGGCAGCAGACGCAAGAGCAGCAGCTGCTGATGACAAGACGGCAGCAGACGCCCTAGCGGTAGACGCCAACGCAACGAAGCTGGCGGCTGATGCTAAGGCAGCAGCGGATGCTGCTGCCAAAGCCGCCGCAGATGCCAAGGCAGCAGCGGATGCAAGGGCAGCAGCTGATGATATGACGGCAGCAGACGCCCTAGCGGCAAACGCCAACGCAACGAAGCTGGCGGCTGATGCTAAGGCAGCAGCGGATGCTGCTGCCAAAGCCGCCGCAGATGCAAAGGCAGCAGCAGATGCCAAGGCAGCAGCAGATGACCAGGCGGCAGCAGACGCCCTGGCGGCAGACGCCAAAGCAGCCAAGATGGCGGCAGATGCTAAGGCAGCAGCGGAGGCTGCTGCCAAAGCCGCCGCAGATGCAAAGGCAGCAGCTGATGCTGCTGCCAAAGCAGCTGCAGATGCAAAGGCTGCAGCAGAAGCCAAGGCAGAATCAGATGACCGGACGGCAGCGGACGCCCTGGCGGCTCACGCTAAAGCAGCCAAGATAGCTGCAGATGCCCAAGCAGCAGCCGATGAGAAGACGAGCGCCGACGCTTTGGCGGCTGCCGCCGAAGCAACCAAGATGGCGGCTGATGCGAAGGCAGCAGCGGACGGGGCTGCCAAAGCAGCTGCAGATGCAAAGGCAGCGGCTGAGGCCAGGGAAGCTGCTGGTGTTGCTGTCAAAGCAGCTGTTGCTGCTGCCAAAGCAGCCGCAGATGCCCAGATGGCCGCTGATGCGAAGGCAGCAGCGGATGCTGCAGCAGATGCTGCTGCCAGAGCAGCTGCAGATGCTAAAGCCGAAGCCGACGCCAAAGCAGCTGCAGATGCCAAGGCAGCCGCAGAGGCTAAGGCAGCAGCAGATGCCAAGGCAGCAGCAGATGCCAAGGCAGCAGCGGACGCCAAAGCAGCTGCAGATGCCAAGGCGGTCGCAGATGAAAACGCAGCTGCAGATGCCAAGGCAGCAGCAGATGCCAAGGCAGCAGCAGATGCCAAGGCTGCAGCAGATGCCAAGGCAGCAGCTGATGCCAAAGCAGCTGCAGATGCCAAGGCGGTCGCAGATGCTCAGGCAGCAGATGCCAAAGCAGCTGCAGATGCAAAAGTGGCAGAAGACAGAGAGGCTGTGCGCCACGTGCAAGTCGCAGCAGACGGGTTTGCTGTTTGCTCGTGACACGTTGCACCACAGTTCCCTCATCGGGGGAGTCTTGCTGCGGCTGCCCGGCATCTTTTGTTTGTGTTCGTTCCCATCCTTTCAGATGATCTTTGGTTGGTGACTTGGAGTTGGTTTGGTTTGAACCTTGGCTTCTTGTTGGTGCGTGGAAAGCCACCCGAAACTTTTTATCAGAAAAGCATGGATGTTGACAGGAGGGTTTTTGGAAGACTACATTTTGAAAAGGCCCCCTTTCCACGTCTCATTGGGCAAAGGGCAATCCCCAAACCATCCAATCCGCCAATTGAGGGCAATTAAGGTGATCTAATGTCCCTTTTGAGGAGCTTGGTGTTGGAGCAGGCTATGACATGCTTGGCTATAGCAAGTTGGAGGGCCAAACAAAGAGGTCAGGGTGTAGAGAATCAATCAGAGCCCTTTGATCATCCCGCGCGGGCCCTCGACCAGGCTGATGAGGAGGCGGGCAAATGGTGGGGTACGGGGGGAGCTGGATATTGGCACCAGGGCAAAAGCTTTGCGAATGGATGTTGGAACAAGGGTTTTCAATGATACACCAGGCATCACATGAAAGAACAGAGGTCAATGCATGTGTCTTAAACCAACGGCCGTTGCGTTGTTGGCTGCCCAGGCCGTGACAGTGGTGAGTGCAGTGCAAGACTTTTGGCTGCAGATGGCACCCTTTGCCATGCGTTCCACTCACGCCTATAGTGAAGTACGTGCCCGAAGAAAACGGAAAGGGGCCCCTGACAGCAATGTGGCCTGCTTGCTGCAGAATCCCATTTTCTGAAGGACGCCGCCTTTTAAAGCATGTTTTCAGAAGAGTGACAAAGAGAGGTTGAAGTGGAAGGGACCAGTTCTCAGCGTGCATCGCTGCAAGCTGAGGCAACCCATGTGTCAGAAGCTGTCGCACACGAAATGTCGGCGGTGGTGCTCCATCGAGTGATCAGTGACAGCGCGGCGGTCAGGCGCTTACTTTGCTGCCAGATACTGCAACTGCAGTCGTTTAGGTGTCGTTCTTGAGGGTACTCTTTTGGTTGGTCTAGCAAGGGGGGGGGGCCACTATTTTGACCCACACGCAACCCAAAGCACAGCGGATTAGTGATGAGCAGGTGTCCCCTCAAGAAGTGAAGGGTTCTCAGCAACATGGAACACCCGTTTGTGAGCTCAATCAGGGGCTCATTAATCCTGTTTAAGGCCGAGAGGGAGAGATTGCTGAACGAGCAGCGGAGGGCAGCAGAGGCGGAGGACTGCTGCAAAGGTGAGCTGCTCTGAAAGCATGCTGTTTGCTTTAGCTTACTTGTCCAAAGCGTCCCGGAGGTTATCCACGTTTTGAGGTCCTTCAAGGTAGCCCGTTTCCAATGTGCCCGCTGCAGCTCGCGCTCCCTTGAAAAGCCAATATGCGAGCCAGGAGGCTACCACGATTGTGGCTGAAGCTGATGAGCAGATCCGGGCAGCGGAGGAGACGAGCCTACGACATCAAATCACCCCAAGGGCAAATCCAGCCAGAGTCCTCGTGAAATGGCAGGGTCCTGTCTTGGCGAGTTGTGATGGTGAGTCTCACGAAGCTTCCTACATGTGGGGTGCAGTAGCCAAATACCGAGTTGCATTTTATGTTTGATTAGGTGGTTCTGTTCAGGTTTAGTTTGCGCTATTTTGCGCTCCTTGCTCGCCTGCCTTGGGGTTGGGAAGGTTCGCCCCTCTTGCTAACATGAGCGAAGCTCGTGCAACACACTGGAGTATGATCACCCGACCCGCCGGGGTGCAGTGCGATTCCTTGCAGGCAAGGAATGCTGACTCAAGCCTTTGCAACTTTGTGCTAGGTTCTGAGTGAGGTCGATGGAAAGGAGGTCTCTCCTTCTCCCCCAGCAGCAACAGGCATAGGGTCTCACCCAATCCTGGGTTCGGGGCTGTTGCGGGGATTTTGGAGGGTTTCGGAGAGGTTCTGGGGCTGTTGGGTGTATCATATACTTCTTGGGCTTGTTTTGCTTTTTGCCTTGGCCAGGAGAACATGAAGGCGGCGGCCCGTACGGCCAGCCACGCCGCTGCCGTTGCCCAGGCCTGATTGGTCTCCGGCTGGTGTTGCTGGTGTTGTACGGTGTTGTACGTGTCCGGGCACATGAGGCTTTGGTCAAGATCCAGAAGTCATCACGAAGTGTAGGTTTGGAGCGATTTATGTAGGAGGATTGGCTAACACCCCCCTGTAGCTTTTTTTTTTTGGGGGGGGGGGTAAGGACTGAATATGAAAGTTACGACCGCTGGGGTGGCGGAAGACTGCGGAAGGGCGAGCGAACGTTTCGCGGAAGGGTATGTACTATCATGGGATGAGGCCGTACTCTTGTACTACAGGTGTAGTTAAAAGTTGTGCTGCTTGAGCTGGGGCCGCTTGTGTGCCACACTGGTACTTAACAGTTGTGATGTTCAAGCTGAGCTGCCAAAGTGCGCCTCCTGTTGAGTTGAGAACGATACCCGGACGATGCCGCGCGACTCCAAAACGATACCGCCCATTGCCTGGAGTTGTTATGATTCCGGCGACAGACAGTGCAGACAAGCGCCAACACACGAATTTCAGATCGACCTCGAAAAGCGTTTTGGCGTAGGAACGAAGCTTGGGGGGGGGGAAGCAGCGAAGAGCAAGAGCAGCAGGATCGGAGAAGTCTCAAGAGACAACAGCAACATGCTGAAAGGAAGGACGGAAATTGGAAGGGCCGCCAAATATGATGCCAGAATGCTTTTCAAGGTCCGAAACACGCGAAGATTTTGCGCTTTTCCGCAATGTCTGCTGCAGGCAGCAGAAGGGCCAGCATGCTTTTCAAAGTCCGAAACACGCCAAAATTTTGCGCTTTTCTACAACGTCTGCTGCGGGAAGCAGAAGGGCCACAAAACTGTTTGAGGCCCGGATTGCGCGAAAAAGAAGCAAATTTCGGAGCGCGAAGCCCGCTTTCCGCGTTTTTCTACACTGTCTGAGGGCCGCCGAATATGATGTCAAAACACTGTTTGAGGTCCGAAAGATGAAAGGCGCAAAAAAGCAAACAACATTTGCTGTTTCGCTTTTCTACACTGTCTCAGAAGGTTTGCCGAATATGACGCCAGAACGCTTTAATTCGTTTTTTCTCGCGCATTTCATATTCCGTGGACCATGCAGGAATTTCGGGACTCAGATGGTTCAACACCGAATGAAAGCAATCGTCAGACTAGCCCAGGCCAAAGCAAAGGCTGCTTCGGATGCAGCACAGCGCCCAGCGATTTGGCGAAGCCAGCGTTCCTGCCCATGTGCTGAGGTGAGGGACCTGAGCAACAATGACTGCGCCTCAATGGCTTTCTTGTTGCGCACGCGGATTCAGAACTTGCATGTCCAGACACCCCATGAGCTTTTGCCCAGGGCTCGCTGGCGGAAGCATTTACTCCACCGGTGCCATGGCAGCAAATCAATGGTGCTGCGGATTCTGCGCCGGGAAACATCTTACAAAAAGGGGTGCCGTCTGCAAGCACACTAGGGGATTGGCTACCTTTCCATGATGTCTACTTGCGCAAGTGCAGCGCAGGTATCGACCAGATCCGACGCCCTCCAAGCGGTTACAGCGGATGTGCTCAGCAGACTGATGGCCGTCCAACCCTCAGCCGATAAATCCGCGAAAGCTCTCATTTGCACTTGCCCTTCCATGGCACAGCTTGTATGCGTTTGCTTTGGGTCGGTGGCAAGGCGTGCAGGCTCACTCGTCCAAAGCACGACCATTTGACCCTTTGCAACCAACGTTCCATGTAGCCATGAACCGAAAGCAGAATCTTGATTGCAGATCATGTGTCGCCTGAGGTTCCTGGCGCAGATGCGGCAGATGCGATTGATGTGCCGGGTACTCGGGTACCTTTCAGGAATGGAGACGGCTTCATGGAACCCTAAAGGCTCCAGCCCGGGCCCGCTACAGAAACGGGCCAGTTGAGAAGAAACATGGCTCAAACTTGGCCTTGCAATCTAAAGGAAACGCATCCTTCAATCTTCATTTGGGTTGATCGGTTTGGACAACAGCGAGAAGCGCCCAAGCCAGGATTGGCTAACTTGCCAATGCTTTTTGTGGGGTTGCATAAGTGTAGACAATTGGATGTTTTTCAGCAACGATCGCGCAAACATGGTTCATGCAGTTCATAGGCCCCCGCTTTTTATGCCGCCCGCGTTCGCGGTAGGCTGGCAGTGGAGGAGGCCGATTCCTTGACAGAGCTGACCTCCCTCGAATTCAGGCGGATGCTGCCCGGAGATGTGCAGTTGGGAAGATCTGGGCAAGCTGTGTGGTGAATGGAAGCTACGGTGAACTTGGCATGGGAAAAACGAGCTCCCACATTTTGCAGGGAGACCCATGGTTTCGCAAAATCAAGCCCAAGCCACTCTTGAAGATTGAAGGGTTACCTCTTCCACATCCCTTGACCACCTATTATTTAATGATGCCGCCTGAAGCGCCCGCTTGCACCGCCTAGATCTTTGATTCAAACAGCATGTTCCTTGGGTCACTCTGATTTCCATCTGGTGTGTCCATTGGCGGCTAAAAACCGAAACGGCAGGGGCCTGGAGTACCAGACCTTGGACCACCGGGCGGCGGTGGGTGACCTGCTGCGCCAGCTGAAGACCCTGGGCCTGGCCACCTCTCTGGCGGACCGGCTCCGGGTGCAGCTGGCGCCCGGAGATCCGGGCCCACGCCTCTTGGCGGAGATCTCCGGGCCGGCCACTGCCAAGCAGCCCCTGGAGGCCGGGCAGGGGGGCTGCTGGTACCTTGGTCCCCGGATCTATTCTGCAAGAGAGTCCAATATGCCAATAGTGGAGGAACTGAGAATGGAAGTCCCTGGTTGTGTAAATGTACAATGGATACCTGCAAGGCGCTCTGCTAGGTCTTGTTGTAATGGCTGCAGGATGCAACAGTACCACAAGATAGGGCCTTGAGCCAAATAGCATGCGTGTGGTGCAGGGTCAATTGCGAAGCAAAAAGCAACACAAAAACAGACACAATTTCTTTTGACCCTGAACACCAAAATCTTAGCTTCATGGTCTTTCGCCGTAGCCATACTTATGGTATGCTTGCCGTAGCCATATCGAAAATTAAATCATCCTATTTTAAACAAAAACTTAGCCTCTATAAATAGGGGTGTCTGTCGTTTTCGCCGTACCCGAAAATAAAAGCGCAAACAATCACGTAAATAAATCAAGCTTTCTGGTTGGCCTGGCCCTTAATAGGAAGAGTCCGTAGATAATATGGTAAATAGTGAGGTAAATTAGTTGTAACTTATTTTGGCTTGCCCGATCTTGAGTGACCCTGCGTGAGCTGGACTTAGTGTCCCTCATTGACAGGGATGTGTATTGGCGAGAATCTTCCCCTTCGCGAATTTAACCTGCTCATATCACTGAAGGAAGGCAAAGCGTCATGAGTCATGAACCATTGGAAGAGCCGCGACAACTTTGACATGAATGTTCATGCGTACTGGTAGCTGCGAGCCACAGTTTTTGCTCGCGAGCATGTGTCGCGTTGGCAAAGCCAAAAAGCTCCGGACGCAAAAGCGCGTGCGCCCATGCTTGCGCTTGGGTTGCGTTGCCATGCTAATAAGCAGCCAGAACCCCCACCAAGATACATGTCAATTTGTGTTTAGTGATCATGAGAAAGGAGATGTTGTAGGAACCGAGGACTAGGAACACTGCGTCTTGTCAAAGAACGTCCGGTATGTCCGGTCATTGGTTATGTCAGCTGCGTGAACAACATTAGGAATATTTGAGGGCGCTTTCCAACAGTCAAGACTTAGTCAGCTTTTTGTTGGGCGACCTTGCGAGGGCCAATCTTGAAGAACATCAAGATTAACGTCTATATTCCTAACATGCACCTGGCGCACAGACACATAGACACCACCCACACACACAAACACACATGCACACACGACTCTACGAGGTTGTCTCCGCGTGGCCGATCCAACCAGTCAGGAGTTGCAAAGGACGATTTTAAGCCTTGCCTTCTTGCAGCTTTGCTTGCCGCGTTGTGGTACTGTCGCGCGTTGTTTTTTGTTTTTTTTCTTTGCCGCGGCTTCGCCTCGTTTGTCCGCAAGACACAGGGAATCCAAGAACCAATTCCAGAAACCCAGTTGAGCAAAGGCCGGAAAAGAGGAGCGATCGATGCTGTCACATGTGCACGCAAGTTCTGCGGACGGACCTCCATGCTCAAAATGTGTCCCCTGAACGGTTCAGAACGGTTCAGCCAGCCTTTTTCTGCGTAAATGGTTGCGTAAATTTTCGCGTAAATTTCAGACAAGTCTTTGCCTTTTTGTGCTTTGAGATTTCGGATCGCTTGCGATGTTCCGATGCCGGCCTGACCTTTTACCTAGGACTAGGAACCGCCAGCCGCGTGCTCACGAACCGTTCCGAGGAACGGTGGCAACCAAACTGCATGCCCCTGAACCGTTCTGAACCGTTCCGAAAGCATTGGAACGCGTGCCCCTGAACCGTTCTGAACCGTTCCGGAGGCATTGGAACCCATGCCCCTGAACCGTTCTGAACCGTTCTGGAGCCCATCTAGCAAGCAGCGCACAGAGCAGGCGTATAGTTCAGAACCGTTCTGAACCGTTCTGAACCGTTCGTCACTCAAGCTTCCCAGGAACCGTTCTGAACCGTTCAGGAGGGATTGCAGCATCATACTATGAACCGTTCTGAACCGTTCAGCAGTCATTGCAGCAGCATACCCTGAACCGTTCTGAACCGTTCAGGAAGAATTGCAAGCAGCATGCCCTGAACCGTGCTGAACCGTTCAGGAGGGATTGCAGCATCATACCCTGAACCGTTCTGAACCGTTCGGAGACATTGGAGCTGCGTACCTAGGTTAGACGTGTTTAAGACTTAAGATGTTTGGCCTCCTAACATTCGCACGGCAGCTGCTAAGGATTTAACAAAGATCATTCAATCAACACCTTGGGCGCTTGTTACGGAGATGGGAGGGGCGCGTTGGAGCCTGACCTTCTTTGTGCCAATGTTTTGCCATTGGCTTGTCTGATTGTGCGCCTTTTATCTCTGTTCAGGCCTGTTACATGGCAAATGATGCAGCTTCCAGCTTCCAACACTGAGGCACACATTGTTTACATGATCTTTTACGTGTTTCTTTAAGGCCTGGTTTTGTTTACATAAATACTTACCTGAAGAGTGACGTGGTTTGTTACATGACTATTGGCCGGTTTTAACCTCCACAGAGATAGAGGCTAAGTTTTGGTCTAAATCCGATTTCTGTTGCGGATGAAATGTCTTGGTGGCAGAATGAAAAATGCTTTGTACTGATTGGACGAGATACCTAACTGTATCTAAAACGGAAATGTAAGAAACACTTTGTACACGCGGGATGGTGTGAATAATCCTGTATCAGGTTGGAAGGCTTGGGTTTACAGGCTTCATTCTGCAAGGAGTGTATTGGATCATCCGTAGCCATTTTGGCTCAAGCATGATCCAAACTGGCTAAATTTTAACTTCTGGTTTGCGGGTTCGGCAAGTGTTACTTGTCGAATGTTGGCAGTTCCAGGAGTTGACTTTGCCGTTCACACGGATCGTCCTATCCTGTCCACAGGCGCCTACCTCGGCTTCAAGCGCCATGTGGGCAACTTGCTGGAGCAGGGGAATCATGGCCAGGCCCGGATGCTCTGGCTTTCGGCTGTGGAAGTTTTGCATGCCCCTTTCGTGCAAGCTCCCCTGCCCTTGGTTGATAGTGGGGAGATACCCCACCTGCAATTTGCACCCTGCATTGATGCCCAGTGTGCGAGATGTGACGGGTCCCTTGGCGGCTTCAAGTTCCCGTTCATTGGCACCTGGTGCCGGCGTGCAGTCTTGGTTCAAGAAGGTGCATCTGCAGAGGAGGCTTGGGCCGCCTATCATGGGTGCTATGAGGAGGATCGCCTGTCTGAGGCCATGGTGGCTGAAGCAGGCAGTGGCCTCCGTACCCAGGACATCATCCCGATGTATGTCTCCGCCATTGCTGGCCGGGTGGAATCTGGCGACCTCCCCTTCGTGTCCTTCAGGGGCTTCATGGGGACCTGCAGGAGATGGAGCTTGGGTGCTCGGAGTTGGACCGAGCCATGGCCCAGGGAGAGCGACTCCCTGGCCAGAGCCACAGCGGGGAGGCTTCTCCGTGGGTGGCTGGAGGAGGGGAGGAGGAACCTCCCTCTGGGCGGGCTTTGCGCCTACTGCGGAAGCAGGACTCACTCTGTGTGCGCATCATGTGGCATCCACCAATGCGAAGCCTGCCCCATCCGCTGCTGCCAAGGCTCTACGCTGGGGGGCGCTGCTCTTAGCCATGGCGTTTCGCGGTGACGCCACTCCTGGGCGCTATGCCACTGAAGCCATGGAGCACTCCGGGGGCGACCCGGGCGGCTCTGGCGAGGGGCTGATGTCTCGTGTCCAGGAGGCCAACGTTCGAGCTTTTCGGCAGAAGCACGGGCTGATGCAGGACTCCGACTTCGGCTTCGCCTTTGAGGCCTTCGAGGATGCAGTCCGCGCGGGTGGCCACTTCGTCGCCGCTGAATGGGCGCGGGTGCGGGCGGAGCAGCAGGCTCACCTCCTCCCGGCAGGCGCGGCAGTGGTGGAGGCGGACCCCTGGCGAGTGACGCCGGTGGGGCCATCGACCCTCCGCCGGCCGGCGGTGCGGCTCCCCACAAGCAACGTGGGCCTGCGGTTGAGGCAGAACCCGGACAACGCCGAGGCGGTCGGCCGCAGGGTCAACCTGCTGACGGAGGCCTTCATGAAGCTGGGCGTCCTTCGGCCCCGGAGGTACGACGACCCGAAGCGCTATGCCGACTGGCAGCAAGCGGTTCGGAGGCTTGCTCAGGAACGAGTCACCCAGTCCGAGGCGACCACGATCCTGAACGCGGTGAGGACGTTCCAGGAGCTCTCGCTCTTCCTCGCAGCCAGGGACGTGCAGGACCCGGAGGAGTTGGACTTTCACGCCTTCCTTGAGCAGGCCATGTCGCCGTCGCGAGCGCTGCAGTCATTGCGCTGGCTGTCCAACAACGGCAGGTTGCAGTGGCAGCTGGACCGCCTGAAGCCCCCAAAAGTTATTGGGAAGGTGCGCAAGGCGAGGTCCCAGGCCGTGGTGGTGGAACCGCCCATGCTGCTCACCCTGGAGGGCCGGATCATCGAGATGCAGCAAGCCCGAGATCCAGCTTGGACAGCAGCGCTGTCGTCGTGGCTCGTGGCTTCGGGTTGCCTGCGCTACAAGCACTTGAGCTTGTCCACTCCGGTGAAGATCAGCAGGGAGTTCTTCCACGGCCACTGCCGCAAAGGGAAGCAGTCCCATAACCGGCAAGGATTCGACTGGTGCGCACCAGCTCGTTTCTCCAACGGTTGGCATTGGGCCGACAAGTGGCTGGAGGACTTTCAGGGGCTAGCGCCGGAGAAGCACGACAAGTGCGGCATCTGCTTTCACCCGGCCTCTGGCCAGGCGTGGCCCATCCGGGAGGTGCAGAGGGTGACTCAGCACCTCTTCCATGGCGTGGTGGAGCCCCTCGAGCAGCTCACTAGCTATTCCTGGAGGAGATTGCTGCCGACGGTGGGCTCTTTGATCCGCCTTCAGGACGCGGAGATCGTTTCCCTGGGAGACTGGCAGGACAAGGTCGAGGAGCGTGTCTCGATGCCGTTCCACTACAGCGGCGGCAAGTACGCCTTGTCCATGCGGACCAAGATGAGAGCCTTCCTCGTGGCGGCCAAGGTCGCGGACTGCGAGGCCTGGGAGACGG